CTGTATCATGATATTTGTACTGAGTAAACCTCCAATTGTTCTCCACTATTCCACCCGCTAAAACCTCCCCCTATCCCAAGTTGGGTTGTCATTGTCACGCCCTGGCTCTGGGGACTCTTATATGTTGAGCCAGGGTGTGGATTTTCTATGTGTGATTTTCTATGTTTTGTTCTAGTTCGTGTTTTCTATGTTGGCCAGGGTGGTTCCCAATCAGAGGCAGCTGATTCTCGTTGTCTCTGATTGGGGACCATACTTAGGCAGCTTGTTTGGCACTGTTGTTTGTGGGATCTTGTTCCGGAAGGTTTGTGTTCAACCCAGGACTTCACGTATCGTTTGTTTTGTTGTTTTTGTTCGTGTGTGTACTAGTAATAAAGTATGTACGCATATCACGCTGCGCCTTGGTCCGCTGTTTACAACGATCGTGACAGAAGATCCCACCTCGACTGGATCAAGCAGCGTGACGAGGAGAGAGGATGGACCTGGGAGGAGATGAGTGAGAGTCTGGCAAGAGGGATGGAGGCCATGAGCACGGGGGAGAGACAAGCCCAAACATTTTTTAGGGGGGGGCTCAAGCCGTGGACGACGAGGCAGCAGGAGGCCGCGATAGAGCGGTTCAGCCGGTTAGCAGAGGAGGCCGCTAGGTTACGGGGGTCACTGGTCACGAGGGAGAAGGAGAGTGTGGAGGCACGGCGAGAGGAACTGAGTAGGCAGCAGAGGGAGCGGAGGTTTATGAGGAAACCCAGTCCCGCTCCTCGCACCAAGGCCAGTGGTGTGTGTTCCCAGTACGGTTGGCCCGTTCCTGCTCCCCGCACTAAGCCTGTGGTGCACGTCGTCAGCCCAGTCCGGCCTGTTCCTACTCCCCTCACCAAGCCAATGGTCCGCGTCGCCAGCCCGGTCCGGCCTGTTCCTGCTCCCCGCACCAAGCCAGTGGTGCGCGTCGCCAGCCCGGTCCGGCCCGTTCCTGCTCCCCGCACCAAGCCAGTGGTGCGTGTCGCCAGCCCGGTCCGGCCTGTTCCTGCTCCCCGCACCAAGCCAGTGGTGCGCGTCGTCAGCCCAGTCCGGCCCGTTCCTGCTCCCCGCACCAAGCCAGTGGTGTGCGTCGCCAGCCCGGTCCGGCCCGTTCCTGCTCCCCGCACCAGGCCAGTGGTGCGCGTCGTCAGTCCGGCACGGTCCGTGCCTGTTCCACCGGTGCCTGGTCCGGCACCGGTCAGCTGCTCCACACCGGAGCCAGATCAATCCGCTCCACCGATGTCCAGTCCAGCTCCGGCCAGCGGGGCCAGACCAGACCAGGGGCGCTACGGGGGGTTAGAGAGAGAGTGGTGGTCACGCCCGGAGCCGGATCCGCCTCCGAGGCGGAATGCCCACCCGGCCCCTACCCTCTTGAGTTTGGTTGGCGCGGTCGCAGTCCGCGCCTTTGGGGGGGGGGTACTGTCACGCCCTGGCTCTGGGGACTCTTATATGTTGAGCCAGGGTGTGGATTTTCTATGTGTGATTTTCTATGTTTTGTTCTAGTTCGTGTTTTCTATGTTGGCCAGGGTGGTTCCCAATCAGAGGCAGCTGATTCTCATTGTCTCTGATTGGGGACCATACTTAGGCAGCTTGTTTGGCACTGTTGTTTGTGGGATCTTGTTCCGGAAGGTTTGTGTTCAACCCAGGACTTCACGTATCGTTTGTTTTGTTGTTTTTGTTCGTGTGTGTACTAGTAATAAAGTATGTACGCATATCACGCTGCGCCTTGGTCCGCTGTTTACAACGATCGTGACAGAAGATCCCAGTGACTGGCAGAACACCCGTGTTCACCTGGATCCTAGGACTTTGAGAGACTGGGACCCATCCTTTAAAAAGAGCACACAGTGCCACCCACATAAGAGAAGCAGATTAACTGCCAAAAGCATTTCCAACTCCCTCACCTCAATTGTATTGGTAAAATAGCCCTTACACAGCCTGGAGGTGTGTTGGGTCATTGTCCTGTTGAAAAACAAATGATAGTCCCACTAAGCCCAAAACAGATGGAATGGCATATCGCTGCAGAATGCTGTGGTAGCCATGCTGGTTAAGTGTGCCTTGAATTATTTGTGCCTTTGCTGGTGACACAGACAGTGTTAGTTTTTCTTTAAGAAGCCCTCCTGTTCTCCACTCATTACCTGTATTAACTGCACCTGTTCGAACTCATTACCTGTATAAAAGACACCTGTCCACACACTCAATCAAACAGACTCCAACCTCTCCACAATGGCCAAGACCAGAGAGCTGTGTAAGGACATCAGGGATACAATTGTAGACCTGCACAAGGCTGGGATGGGCTACAGGACAATAGGCAAGCAGCTTGGTGAGAAGGCAACAACTGTTGGCGCAATTATTAGAAAATGGAAGAAGTTCAAGATGACGGTCAATCACCCTCGGTCTGGGGCTCCATGCAAGATCTCACCTCGTGGGGCATCAATGATCATGAGGAAGGTGAGGGATCAGCCCAGAACTACACGGCAGGACCTGGTCAATGACCTGAAGAGAGCTGGGACCACAGTCTAAAAGAAAACCATTAGTAACACATTATGCCGTCATGGATTAAAATCCTGCAGCGCACGCAAGGTCCCCCAGCTCAAGCCAGCGCATGTCCAGGCCCGTCTGAAGTTTGCCAATGACCATCTGGATGATCCAGAGGAGGAATGGGAGAAGGTCATGTGGTCTGATGAGACAAAAATAGAGCTTTTTGGTCTAAACTCCACTCGCCGTGTTTGAGGAAGAAGAAGGATGAGTACAACCCCAAGAACACCATCCCAACCGTGAAGCATGGAGGTGGAAACATCATTCTTTGGGGATGCTTTTCTGCAAAGGGGACAGGACGACTGCACCGTATTGGGGGGAGGATGGATGGGGCCATGTATCGCGAGATCTTGGCCAACAACCTCCTTCCCTCAGTAAGAGCATTGAAGATGGGTCGTGGCTGGGTCTTCCAGCATGACAACGACCCGAAACACACAGCCAGAGCAACTAAGTAGTGGCTCTGTAAGAAGCATCTCAAGGTCCTGGAGTGGCCTAGCCAGTCTCCAGACCTGAACCCAATAGAAAATCTTTGGAGGGAGCTGAAAGTCTGTATTGCCCAGCGACATCCCCGAAACCTGAAGGATCTGGAGAAGGTCTGTATGGAGGAGTGGGCCAAAATCACTGCTGCAGTGTGTGCAAACCTGGTCAAGACCTACAGGAAACGTATGATCTCTGTAATTGCAAACAAAGGTTTCTGTACAAAATATTAAGTTCTGCTTTTCTGATGTATTAAATACTTATGTCATGCAATAAAATGCAAATTAATTACTTAAAAATCATACAATGTGATTTTCTGGATTGTTGTTTTAGATTCCGTCTCTCACAGTTGAAGTGTACCTATGATAAAAATTACAGACCTCTACATGCTTTGTATGTAGGAAAACCTGCAAAATCGACAGTGTATCAAATACTTGTTCTCCCCACTGTATATGACTCCTGGGAGGTACAGCGTCTACCCGGAGGTTTATCGCGCAATCCCCCGCCCGATGAGGTGGTAAATTAGTCACCTGCGTTTTAGATAACGCTTGCGCCAGATCGAGGTATTCAGGGGGAATGAGCACGGTGGAGGTACTGTCTGGACTTTCCACCGTGGTTGCACCAACGGAAACACCTAGACACCTACCCTGACACTCTCGCAACCACCCCGGGGAAACCCTCTGCGGCCATGATAAGGTGGGGTTGTGGAGTGCTAGCCAAGGGATACCTAATACCACAGGAAAAGCAGGAGACTCAATAATGGAAAAAGTAACCTGCTCACAATGAGTCTCCTGGGTAATCATGGTTTATGTGGGGCAGTCCAGGGTGGTGTTCTTTAAGCACCATACAAAAGAAAACCGGACTGAAACTGGGAGGGACTACCTGAAGTGTTCCATAAGAAACACTCATTTTTGTTTTCCATTGCCCTAATGCAAGTGCTTTCCTTTTCTTCTGTGATGCAACTCTCTGTTGTAAGGTCTTTCTGAACACAGCTCTACATTCAGGCACTCAAACACTGGTTACACAAAAGTGAATTGTGTTCAACTATATTTTCAACAATTCTCACATTACAATCCACACACACTTCAAAGTAAATATTTTTCCAAGGAACCCCCCCCCCCCCCGCACTGAAACCAAGCCATGACCGTTGGCTGTATAATCTACTTTCCATCTTTGATAAAATCTAAGCTACTTTAACAAAATTATACACTCTTATTCACAAACTCCTACTCTACCACTGCTGATTGTCGTAAAATAATAGTAGCCTCCCCATTGCACTGGAGAGCGATGCACCAGGGGTGCATTCATTAGTGGACACCGTAGCAAAATGTTTTGCAATGAAAACAAGTTTCTTATTGGACAAATTCAGATAGATCCTGCCCCGTTTGCTTCCTAGTGAATACACCCTTGCTATCTGTAACTGTCCCACCTCCTGTTCAGTGGCTGAAATTACAAATGAACCCCTAGACTCTACACCCTTGGCACTCCTGTAGTGCCGAATGAATTTGAAAGATATAAGCATTATGATAACTTCTGGCTAGGTGAAAGATATCGCCATATATAGTGCCCCACTGTGGTGCTGCCTATAACATTCCACTCCAATGTAGTGACGTGTAGCCTCTGGCTAGATGAGAGATGTCGCCATATTGCTTCCACCTATAGTGTCCCACTGTGGTGCTACACCATTCCACTCCAATGTAGTGACATGTACACCACCTCCTCCCCGTCATCGTCCTGGCGTTCCCCTGGCCGTGGAAACGGAGGGGGTCACCTGAGAGAAAGGGGATACAGAAGAGATTAACAGAAAGACTGACACATGACCATAGGTTCTGTTTTATAGAGAATTATAGGCTTCCCAAGTCGGCAAGATCGGACAAAAAAAAGCCACTGGCAAACTACTAGAATCATGCACTGAGCTCAGGTCAATCAAATTTAATCAATTAATCATAAATCAATGTGATTGAAGTATGGAGCTCACCTGGGTACACCAGGTAGTCTCCCCCAAACTTCCCGGCCGAGGTGAGGTAGAAGCCCTGGCGTCTTAGGTCCCTGAACACTATGACCTCTCGTCCCGTGGTATGGGCCAGTCTGTGGCCAGCAAACAGCACACCTCGGGACAGTGAGACAGTCTTGCTCAGGCTGTGTACAGCTGTACCACCATGGCCGTGTGAGGGAATGAGAAGCCGTGGTCCAGAGCTTCGAGACGGTCTCTCACCGCACCGTCCGAATCCCGCTGGCTTCTCATTCGGCTATTAGTCATCTGATGTGAGTGATGGCGCCCCCTCACCGTTATGTTTCTCAGTCATAACTCTCAGCAATGTCGTCTTCCTGTCCTCCAAGGCCAAGGCACTCTGTTCCTGAAAGCTGTTCTCCAGTCCTGCATGGTACTGCTCCACTTGCTCTTTATTCACCTCAGGATTCTGTAAGGATCAATGAACCAAACTGTGAGTGTGTAGGGCTTGAGGGGGAACAGCCGGATCAGGCCTTAAACCCACAACCCAGTTACATGGCAAGCCACTACCACCTGTGCCAAAAATGTCTAGACACTTTGGTATTTTATTAGGATCCCCATTAGCTGTTGCAAAAGCAACAGCTACTCTTCCTGGGGTCCACACAAAACATGAAACATGACATAATACAGAACATTAATAGACGACAACTCAAGGACAGAACTACATAAATAAATACAAAATTACAAAAAGGCACACGTAGCTTACATATCAATACATACACACAAACTATCTAGGTCAAATAGGGGAGAGGCGTTGTGCCATGAGGTGTTGTGTTATCTGTTTTTTGAAACCAGGTTTGCTGTTCACTTGAGCAATATGAGATGGAACGGAGTTCCATGCAATAATGGCTCTATAGAATATTGGACGCTTTGGGGACTTTGAAAAGACCCCTGGTGGCATGTCTGGTGGGGTAAGTGTGTGTGTCAAAGCTGCGTGTAAGTTGACTATGCAAACAATTTGGGATTTTCAACACATTCATGTTTCTTATAAAAATAAGAAGTGATGCAGTCAGTCTCTCCTCAACTCTTAACCAAGAGAGACTGGCATGCATAGTATTTATATCAGCCCTCTGATTACAATGAAGAGCATGACGTGCCGCTCTGTTCTGGGCCAGCTGCAGCTTAACTAGGTCTTTCCTATCCTCGACCACACGACTGGACAATAATCAAGATTAGACCAAACTAGAGCCTGCAGGACTTGCTTTTTGGAGTGTGGTGTCAAAAAAGCAGAGCACCTCTCCCCATATTTACAACCATTTAATATTTTGACCATGACAGTTTACAATCTAAGGTAATGCCAAGTAATTTAGTCTCCTCAACTTGTTCAACAGCCACACCGTTTATTACCAGATTCAGCTGAGGTCTAGAATTTAGGGAATGTTTTGTACCAAATACAATCCTCTTAGTTTTAGAGATGTTCAGAACCAGTTTATTACTGGTCACCCATTCCAAAACAGACTGCAACTCTTTGTTAAGGGTTTTAAGTGACTTCATTAGCTGTAGTTGCTGATGCGTATATGGTTGAATCATCAGCATTCATGGACACACATGCTTTGTTTAATGCCAGTGGTAGGTCATTGGTAAAAATAGAAAAGAGTAGGGGGCCTGCCCTACGGTACATCACATTTTACATGTTTGACATTAGAGAAGCTTCCAGTAAAGAAAACCCTTTGAGTGTAATTAGATAGAAAGCTCTGAATCCACGATATGGCAGAGGACGTACGTGTTTTCAACAACAGGTTATGGCCAATAATATCAAAGGCTGCACTAAAATCTAACAGTACAGCTCCCACAATATTCTTATTATCAATTTCTTTCAACCAATCATCAGTCATTTGTATCAGTGCAGTACATGCTGCGTGCCCTTCTCTATAAGCATGCTGAAAGTCTGTTGTTAATTTGTTTACAGAGAAATAGCATTGTATTTGGTCAAACACAATTTTTTCCAACAGTTTGCTAAGAACTGGCAGCAAGTTTATAGGTCTGCTGTTAGAACCAGTAAAGGCCTCTTTACCACTCTTGGGTAGCGGAATGACTTTGGCTTCCCTCCAGGCCTGAGGACAAAGACTTTCCTCTAGGCTCAGATTAAAGATATGACAGATAGGAGTGGCTATAGTCAGCTACCATCCTCAGTATCTTTCCATCTAAGTTGTCAATGCCAGGAGGTTTGTCATTATTGATCGATAACAATAATTTTTCCACCTCTCCCACACTAACTTTACAAAATTCAAAGTTGCAATACTTTTCTTTCATCATTTGTTTTTTTATGCATGAATACGATGGCTCACTGTTCGTTGTTGGCATTTCCTGCCTAAGTTTGCCCACTTTGCCAATGAAGTAATCAATAAAATAATTGGCAACATCAAATGGTTTTGTGATGAATAAGCCATCTGATTCGATGAAAGATGGAGTTGAATTTGTCTTTCTGCCCATAATTTCATTTAAAGTACTCAAAACATTTTTTCCCATCATTGACCTTGGCTTCATAATACAGTTTCTTCTTCTTTTTGTTGAGTTTAGTCACATAATTTCTCAATTTGCAGTAAGTCAGCCAGTCAGATGTGCAGCCAGACTGATTAGCCACTCCTTTTGCCCCATCTCTTTCAGCCATACAGTTTTTCAATTCCTCATCGATCCATGGAGCCTTAACAGTTCTAACAGTCAGTTTCTTAACAGGTGCATGTTTATCAATAATTGGAAGAAGCTATTTCATAAATTCATCAAGTGCAGCGTCTGGATGCTTCTTATTAATCACATTACACCAACAAATATTTTTAACATCATCCACATAAGAGTCACAGCTAAATCTTTTGTATGATCTCTTATACACTATTTTAGGGCCATCTGTTGGAACTTTGGCTTTCCTGGATATAGCCACTATATTGTGATCACTGCATCCAATGGATACAGATAGCTTTAGCGGTAGGCTTTAGCTTTGACAGAGTCTTTTACAATCCCAACCACCAATTGCTTTATTTATACAGCACAAATTGTAATGTCAAAGTATTAGCAGCCAATTAGTTATTATAGCATCACTACTACATGTGAAAGTACTGAACAAGTGACAAAAGTATTTACTGTTGAGTCAGGACAAACTGTAGCTCTCCCCATGTCCGCCAGCAGTCGTCCCTCCTCCGACAGCAGCTCGAGGAGTCTCCCCAGCCGGGTGTTCTGCCTAGGTTGTCGGGCCAGAGAACCCACCAAGGTCCCTATGATGCCCAGTTTAGGGCTGCTTTCAACTCGTCCTCACGCAACATCAGAGGCGTAGACCCACAGAAGTTTATTCCGATGACCTGCGGCTGTTCGTCATGCTTTCTTTACTCGTATCCTCTTTAGTTTTCATTTTCTTTGGCTCCCGCGAATCCATCTGACTGTGGCATACCCAACCGTGGGATACTTTTGAGGTCGATTTTGAATTAAACGTTCATGCACTGAGCTGTCGCATACACCGGGTGGTGTCCACATGAGTTCTGATCATGATGCATATTGGCACAACATGCCGAAAAGCACAATAATCTAATAATTCCTTGGGTTGAAGCAGCTCTTCGGAACAGCAATATCGAGAGAAATTAAACAGTCAAACACAAACATCCCTAAAATATTGAGCGTGCGTGATGTGCAGTGAAAGTGTGGGAGAGCTCTGGCATTTCCTTGTGGGTGGGAACAATATCACCAGTGTGCCGTGTGGTAGCCAATGCAAAGGAAGAACCGATATTGGCAATGCGCTCTTCCAATGATACCCCAATTCAATCACACAAACTATTCTCCAATATTTTTGTGACGATTTATGAAATTAGCAACCTTTTCTTGGAACCATGAAGAATAACTGTTTTGGCGGTGTACATTTTTTTATTACATTTTCTCATTTCATCTCAATGAACTGAAACAAGTTAATTCAACTTAAAGTAAAAACCAACAATTTCTAGCTGCTGAAACCTTTAAGTGTTTACTATATACATCAATTCTAATTATTAGGTATCATCAATGGATTTAATAACCTGTACATACAGTGCATTCGGAAAGTATTCAGACCCCTTCAGTTTTTCCACATTTTATTACGTTACAGCCTTATCCCAAAATGTATTAAATAAATAAACATTCTCAATCTACACACAATACCCCATAATGACAAAGTTGAAACATGTATTTGCAAACATTTCTAAAAACCTAAGTATTCAGACCCTTTGCTATGAGACTCAAAATTGAGCTCAGGTGCATCCTGTTTCCATTGATCATCCTTGAGATGTTTCTACAACTTGGAGTCCACCTGTGGTAAATTAAATTAATTTGGAAAGGCACACACCTGTCTATATAAGGTCTCACAGTTGACAGTGCATGTCAGATCAAAAACCAAGCCACGAGGTCGAAGGAATTGCCCGTAGAGCTCCGAGACAGGATTGTGTCGAGGCACAGATCTGGGGAAGGGTACCAAAAAATGTCTGCAGCATTGAAGGTCCCCAAGAACACAGTGGCCTCCATCATTCTTAAATGGAAGAAGTTTAGAACCAGCAAGACTCTTCCTAGAGCTGGCCGCCCGGCCAAACTGAGCAATCGGGGAGAAGGACCTTGGGCAGGGAGGTGACCAAGAACCTGATGGTCACTCTGACAGAGCTCCAGAGTTCCTCTGTGGAGATGGGAGAACCTTCCAGAAGGACAACCATCTCTGCAGCACTCCACCAATCAGGCCTTTATGGTAGAGTGGCCAGACAGAAGCCACTCCCCAGTAAAAGGCACATGACAGCCCGCTTGGAGTTTGCCAAAAGGCACTTAAAGGACTCTCAGACCATGAGAAACAAGATTATCTGGTCTGATGAAACCAAGATTGAACTCTTTGGCCCGAATGCCAAGCATCACGTCTGGAGGAAACCAGGCACCGCTCATCACCTGGCCAATACCATCCCTACGGTGAAGCATGGTAGTGGCAGCATCATGCTGTGTGGATGTTTTTCAGTGGCAGGGACTGGGAGACTAGTCAGTAGAGGGAAAGATGAACGGAGCAATGTACAGAGAGATCCTTGATGAAAACCTGCTCCAGAGCGCTCAGGACCTCAGACTTGGGGCGAAGGTTCACCTTCCAACAGGACAACGACCCTAAGCACACAGCCAAGACAATGCAGGAGTGGCTTCGCGACAAGTCTCTGAATGTCCTTGTGTGGTCCAGCCAGATCCCGTACTTGAATGCGATCGAACATCTCTGGAGAGACCTGAAAATATTTGTGCAGAGACGCTCCCCATCCAACCTAACAGAGCTTGAGAGGATCTGCAGAGAAGAATGGGAGAAACTCCCCAAATACAGGTGTGCCAAGCTTGTAGTGTCATACCCAAGAAGACTCGAGGCTGTAATCACTGCCCAAGGTGCTTCAACAAAGTACTGAGTAAAGGGTCTGAATACTTATGTAAACGTGATATTTCATTTTTGTATTTTCAATAAATTTACAAAAATGTCTAAAACCTGTGTTTGCTTTGTCATGATGGGGTATTGTGTGTAGATTGAGGGGATTATTTAAAAAAAAAAATCAATTTTAGAATAAGGCTGTAAAATAACAAAATGTGGAAAAATTGAAGGGGTCTGAATACTTTCCGAATGAACTGTACATTGCATAGCAATAGTGTCTTGATGCTTAAGTTTTTAAGGCTCAAATGTATGTTAAAATGTGAGAACAAGCCTTCAACTGCAACGTGTCTCCACGAGTAGTAAAAATTGTATGAGATCCGAATTTATGTCCATTATAGATAGCTTTACGAGCGCTCTTGGGTCTTGATCATATGGCAAGGATGTTTTTATTCATGAACAAATTCAGTATTTTCTTTTACTAGTTGAAGATCCTCAAGCTCTTTCATGAGTTGAGACTCCTTTTCCATCTTTTCAAGCTAAAAGAGATAAATGACAACGGGCAAAAAGAGAATACATATTTTAGCAACACAATTCTCTAATATTTTCAAGTTGAATATACAAATGTAAAAACTGTGGATATATATTGACTGTGTGCGTGACAGTAGTTTCTTAGAAAAATACCTGGTTCTTTTGAATGGGTTTCCCAGTTGCTTGCAGCGCTTTCAGCTCGTCGATAGCTTTCAGTTTCTAGGGGTCAGTTTGAAATAAGCAGAATTAACGTACAGCTAAGCCATTCTCAACACCAAAAGGGCAACACTTGACGTGAAACTTACTGACTCATTTTTCTACAGTATGCTTGTGATAAATCATTTCCATAGCAGTGAAAATTAAAAAGGTCAATGACATTATGAAGAAGTAAAACCTGCTTCACCACAGACGTATATTGAATCTGGAAAATTACTGTAAGGTACATTTGTAAGAAACACAGCTTTCTACAGGTACTTCAGCCACCCACTGATACAGTAAATACTGACTATTAAACAGAGACCGTGTTTTTTCACCTTCTTTACGTTCTTGATCTTCTTGTCAAGTTCTGGGTCGCCACAGGAGGGTTCAGGCTGAGTGCTGCTGGCTGGAGAGGGGTCTGACTGGGGCTCAAGGGCATCTGGGTTTATCTCCTACACAAGCAGAAAAACACAACTTTATCAACCCTAGAAGGCTTTATAGACATCACAAAAATAACACACACACACAACTTGAGATCACTGACCTCGCTACCTCCCACTCTCCCCATCTGATAACTTAGACAAGAGCAATTCTCCACTACAGTCATTCATTACGGCACATTAGGAGAAGATCGTGCAAAGCATCTTTACCTGTTTGGCTGCTTTCTTTGCCTCCCGTTTTTTCTGGTTCTTCAGAGCCGTCTTGGACAGCTGCTTGTCCCCGGTGGCGCCAGGCCTCATGTTCTGTGGAGGCTCCTCTTCATGCTGACAGAGAAAAGGGTGGATATTTGTGAATCTTTTTCATCACTATTAGGTCTTCCTCCTCAGGGGTGGATTCAATACAATACAACCTTATTTGGCCCTTTAAAAGGATAGTTTACCCAAATTACAAAACTACATATTGGTTTCCTTACTCTGTAAGCAGTCTATGGACAAGGTAAGACAGCAATCAATGCTTTGGTTTTGTTTCCCTGGCCATTGTCTCCAAATGCTAACTTTTCAGCATTTACAGCACAAAACCAATGCTTGGTATCACTAATATTAGCACCAATGCATTTTATGTCCAAATCATCCCAAAGTGTCTAAAATGTATTGTGTAGTTCATTAAAGTTACTTAAATATGATTTGGACATGAAACAATCCCTTTAAAGGCTCATTTTTGTTTTACAATTGAATAGCTACTGAAAACAACCCAAAGCTGACCCCTGACCATCCTCTACTCACCAGTTTGGAGCTGGCTGTGACCGGTTTATTCCGCAGGGCAGGTGGGCGGTAGGCCTGGGCCGGCTTGGTCTCTGTGCTGCCCAGCTCGCTGGGTGCTGCCTGGTACTTCACCGGCCTCTCAGGGAACGTCCCGTCTGGGAAGGGCTGCCACACAGTCTCCCAGAGCTCTGTGCCCGTCGGCGTGTCCTGCTTGTACAGAACCGTGCCGGTGTAGTGCCAGATCTTGTAGCCGTTGCTGACACGTAGCCGGGGGGCACAGGTCGATGTGACGATGTGTTCACCGTCCGGGCACCAGGCAAAGTGGGTGGAGTCGGGCGCCTGGGGCTTGGACACCTGCTTCCACTTCTTGACATCCCACACCTCCATCTGGCCCCGCAGGTTCCCGAAGCCGGCCAAGACCAGGACGTGGCCCTGGGGGCTGTAGTAGACGGCGTTGCGGGGGCCCGTGCCGAAGTCGAAGACGGGGTCGCACTTGAGGTTGTAGACAGTAGCCTTGGCGGGCATGAAGCCATAGACCACGCAGAACTCGGTGGCGCTTGGGCTCCATGCCACGTCGTAGATGGGCCCGTTCTTCTCTGTTCACAACACAGATAGATACCACACGTTTATGAACCACAGAGCATCAACTAAATTCCTTTAAATGAAACCTGGGTGTAAGCAGCGAGGCTCGAGCTGCTCAGAGTACAATTGCGCTCTGTTTTTTTTTTTTTAAGAATGACGCGCTGCTCACGCCCGAGAACACTTAATAATGTGGCTCGCGCTCAAGCCAGCAAAAGCTACACGTCCAGCATAACAGCTAAAAACATACCGAATGACCATCGCGCCAGTGTAGCTCCCCTGGTATTTTACATATCTTTGCCTTCAGACATACAAATAATGGTGGTGTAAAACACACTATATAAAGAATCTGCAGACTCACGTAGCTGCACGGCAGAAGTCTCCCCATTGGTGGCCAAGTAGTGTAAAGTCTGTTCTCCGTAGTATGAGGCCCCTGTTTTATCCACCTCTACGCTGGCCTGCACCAGAACCGCAGTGGCTGATAGGAAAAAAACAAAAGCCGTCATGGCAAAAAACGACAAACTCTTATTAGGATAACGCAACCACACATTCTCCATAACATTATTATCAACGTTGACCAACCTTTTTTGTTCCACAGCATGGTCACCCTGTCAGCCTTGAAGAAACTCTTGTTGGCCAGAGCGCAGGTCGCTCCACCAAAGTTGGGGTATTGGTATAGCCGGACAAATGAGGGGGCACCTTTGCTCCCAGGGACATAAACAGCCACCTTCAGAAACACAGTGGCAAATGTCAATACCCTGTTATATAGTCAGCTAACCAAACAGATACATGAATTGTTACGTTTATCGGCAGGAAACAAGATAAAACAGAGGTATACTTTACTAGGCTGACTTCCCGGGGACAGCACAAACTCGGACACCTTCTGCAAGTGAAGCTTATTGGCAATGGCGTCTGGAAAAAGAGACGATTAACTAATACAAATATTGGTACTTTTACAATAGGAAGTGCACAAGCGCTAACTAGTTCTCTCAATAAATGCTTGTTTCTGTGTCACATCAGTATGGAGCTGCCATCATGACTAGTTCTCCATTGTTAAGGAGATCTCTTGACCGCAACGGGAATTCCTGGTTGAATAAACTTTCAATAAATAAATCAAATCTATGTGCACAAGAACGTGGGCAATGAAGATACTTACTAAAATCGTTGTTCTCAAAAAAGTGAAGTTCATTGTTAACACTCCTGACCGCAATCTTCTCGTCATCTGACCAGCTTGGACACCTGTACATATTGACAAGACAAAAACAAGCTGTTCTGAAAATAAAGGTCATGATGCAAACATTAAACTAAAAACTCTCAACATTTTCAGTTTCTATTCAATGGAGCGAGGGGTGATAATGACCGAAAGCAGGATAAAGTGCTGGCAGACATTATCTAGCCTTCCCAAGTGCATCATCTAAGTAACAGAGATGGTTCATTGAATCACACTCACATGATTAGTAACCTTGTCCAAGACTTGGGCCTAGGCTTTAGCTTAGTGGGCACACCGGAGACCCAGGTTCTAACTCCTCATATCTGTGATGGGTACACCGGAGACCCAGGTTCTAACTCAGTCATATCTGTGATGGGTACACCGGAGACCCAGGTTCTAACTCAGTCATATCTGTGATGGGTACACCGGAGACCCAGGTTCTAACTCAGTCATATCTGTGATGGGCGCACCGGAGACCCAGGTTCTAACTCAGTCATATCTGTGATGGGTACACCGGAGACCCAGGTTCTAACTCAGTCATATCTGTGATGGGTACACCGGAGACCCAGGTTCTAACTCAGTCATATCCGTGATGGGCGCACCGGAGACCCAGGTTCTAACTCAGTCATATCCGTGATGGGCGCACCGGAGACCCAGGTTCTAACTCAGTCATATCTGTGATGGGTACACCGGAGACCCAGATTCTGACTCAGTCATATCTGTGATGGGCAACACATACTCATTTATTTATTGACCCTTATTTTACGAGGTAAGTTGAGTGAGAACATATTCTCTTTTACAGCAACGACCTGGGGAAGAGTTACAGGGGGAAGGAAAAGGGATGAACAAGCCAATTGGAAGCTGGGGATGACTGAAATGGGCCAGGTTGGGAATTTAGCCAGGACACCGGGGTAAACACCCATACTTTTATTATAAGTGCCATGGGCTCTTTAGTGACCACAGAGAGTCAGGACACCCGTTTCAATGTCCCATCCGAAAGATGTCCCCTTTACTGCCCCAGGTCATTGGGATCTCCTTAGACCAGAGGGAAGAGTGCCCCCTACTAGACCTCCAACACCACTTCCAGCAGCATCTGGTTTCTCATCCAGGGACCAAACAGGACTGACCCTACTTAGCTTCAGAGGCAAGCCAGTAGTTGGATGCAGGGTGTTATGCTGCTGGCTAATCCTCTGCATTTCCTCACAGATGGACAAACACACAATAATAGACAATGGTGAAAACTCACCATCCCTGTACCTTCTTCTGGTAGAGAGCCTTGAGGCAGGTCCCAGTTTGCAAATCCCACAGCTGCAAGTTGGCATCTCCCTGTGGGTTTTCCTGTGTCTCTGACAAGAGCAAGGGAACATACCATTACATTACCTATTGTAAATATGAGTGGTAGTGCAGCACAAACTACAAACCATACATTGCAATGGACATGACATTCAAATTATATCTAGTTTAAAACGGAATACATTTTGGATCCCTACTTGTGTACCTGGTTAAGGGCTCTACACACTACGCAAACAGAGTGACGTATACGGTCCGTTCGAAAAATTAAGTGGAACAAAAATTCAGTGAAACAAAAGTACATAGAACTACTGTACGTAGAAAGTGACGCTCCGTCGCTCCGTAGTGTGTAGAGCCCTTTAGTCGTTAATAGATTCCAGAAAAATGCTAAGGAGTACAATATCAAGAGTCAGTGCTTTCCATTTTCATCATCTAATCAAACCTTGTTATAATTTGTATTGCATTTCAATGTAGTTATGGAAACTTACTGCTATACACCTGCCATGTAGCCAGCACAGTGTTCAGCGGAGAGAACTCCAACATTGCAGTCTTTGGAAGGTCAAAGGACCTGACTTGTGAGCCATCTGCAACCTTCACAACAGTGACCCTGACAAACAAAACATGGGCATGACAACTACTGTGATCGGACCAGAGACTCAATGCTTGCAAAAGATTCCAATGACTGAAGAGGTAGTCTACAGGACTAATGTCACTCACACTACAGCATGCAAGGGTTGTATACTACTTCTGCATACTGATACATAGGGCTCGGGTCAAAAGTTGTGTACTATATAGTGAATCAGGTGCCATGATGTAGATTTTCTTACTTCTCTCCATTGCACCATGCAAACAATGTCCCATCCTTGCTGAAAGCCACATATCTACTTTGCCGAGGGTCCCTGAAAATGAAAGGTTTAGTAAATAAAATTGCATTTGCAACACATGCACAGTGATCGATTTGGCTAACAATGTAACATTATGTTAAGTCTGATAGAACGGGACTGACCTTTGAAAATCGGCATTCTTCTCGCAGTTTGGTGGTCCACGGAGCAGCACTGTCCCGTCAGATCCCCGGACTGTGTGATCACAATAACAGCAGCAGTTAGTCTCAGATCACTGCTGTAATAGCTATGTAAGATTAAATAATTAGCTACATTATCATCAGCAGAAGATAAATCTGATTGGAACAGAATTGGGCTTGCGAGACAGAATACTACAGTGATGGGCTTGCATGCTACAGCATCTGGCAAAATGTTTCGAAAACATTTGGCAAGCTTGTAACATTACTCTGACAAGAGCAGGTCACAATCGACTTTTAAGTAAGGAAATGATTCAACATTCTAACTCACGTGACAGTTAAGGGGGGCCGATGCGTATATTCTACAACCCAGGTTAACGTCTAAAACAATACTTTACTCTTCAATGAAATAACCCACCTGCTAAGAGAGGTGTGGGAGTCGCCATGATGTACCGGAAAAAGAATAAACTGCAAAAGGAAATGCGGAAGTCTCAAGAAAAAGGGGGCGTGTCATTGGAACGTTGGCACGTCATCATAAAATGTGTGACTAATCACATTTCTGACCATAATAAATTCACTCCTAAGTTGAATGTTGTTTATAACCAAATACATGCTGATCTATTTAAAAAATATATTTGTATTAAATGCTTTTAGCCATTTTGTATTCCTTCTATGAAAATCAACAACATTTGTGGAATGACACGACCACGGAATAGCCCTTCATGTGTGGGAGTGGTCTACTTTGCGTGTACGTTGACAAATTGTAGACATGCTGCCCGGTGGATGCAGATTTCACTGAAGGACCAATGGAATGGTCTAAAATGCGCAAAGTCCTATACGCCCGGCCACCGGGACATGCAAAACGAACTCCACCATTCACTCATCACTAAACGTCGACCGAGCTCTGGAAATTAGCCTACTGTCTACATTTGACAGCAACAACTTCATAAATAATCGATATCTAAAAGGCTACAATAAGCTTAAACAATGGTGGCAAAACAGAGAATACGCATGGCCAACGAGAAACACAGCAAAAACATCATGCTGAGAGGCAATGTGGCCAAATCCATGGCAAGTTTTGGGATAAAATCAATCAATAGTCAGTGAAGACTGTACTAGATACATTTATATTTGGTTTGAAAATAATAGCCTAGCTACTTGTTTGAATGGTTTCAAAATATCTAAAAGTTTACTTTAACATTTTGATGTATCTTGATGTTGGTTTCTGATCTATTTCTGCAGAGAAATCCAGGTGATGACAAGGTGGCAGTGGGGTGGCTTCTGGCGTTATTCATCTTTGTCGTCTGCGGATCAGGTAAATGCATATGTACAGTGTACACGAACGTTTATTTCCAATGATGTATACAAACACGTTATACATTATTGGTTTATTCCCCCATGTTTTAGAACCTATTGAAAATGACTCTAGGCCAATATCTCATAATAAACCAATTGTTTTAGAGCGGCTAATATTACGTCATTCAGGTTAGGAGTACCCCATTCATAGACGCTATAACTACCTTTAGTGCTTATTGATGAAGGTATCTTCTTCCCGGGGGACTTTAGTTAAGAGCCCCACGCTTGTTCTGAACTAGCCTAATATGTACTCTTAAGGAGCTTAACATGACCGTTACTCCTTCAGGCCCAAGGACTTTATGCTATGTTCAGAGGTAGACTGAACAGACAAATACTCTAAACTTGAATCGATTCTCAATTGTGATACGGTTCTAGAAACCTAAAGCCCTTTACTTTCACATTGCATCAAAAATAATTTCACAAATGCAATATACACACACACATACTGTACACTGTTTGAACCACCTTTATCACAGTTGCAGCCAACAGTATTTTTCAGGTGACATCACGTTTCTGGCGGCCTTCATCTTTTACACACACACAGGTGTTCAGAGCATGCTATAGATAACTAATTAGCACAGGTGGTCCCTTTGTCTTCCGTAAACACCTACTGTAACATGTAGATATGGCTTTGTGGGAATACTAACCATATAAAAGGTGTATATGAATTTAACGTTTTGTTTTTTGGAGAGAGATTTTTTTATGATATAAAACATAAGGTCCTTATGCTTCCAAAACCTTACCGCAAGCGATTCGTGTTCATGCTCAGACTGAGAGTTTGGGCTCTTAACAAAACTCCCCCATAAAATGTATATAGTATGTATGGGCTGGAAGTAGAGGCCTAAGCGTTGTTGTTCACTAGTTTACTCCAATTGGGGAAGGGGTGGTGGGGTTGGAAAGTAATGAAGGGAAATATAATTCAAAAAAGGATATGTGTGTGTCTATATATATATACATATATATATATATATGTGTATGTGTGTGTGTGTGTGTGTGTGTGTGTGTGTGTGTGTGTGTGTGTGTGTGTATATATACACTGCTCAAAAAAATAAAGGGAACACTTAAACAACACAATGTAACTCCAAGTCAATCACACTTCTGTGAAATCAAACTGTCCACTTAGGAAGCAACACTGATTGACAATACATTTCACATGCTGTTGTGCAAATGGAATAGACAACAGGTGGAAATTATAGGCAATTAGCAAGACACCCCCAATAAAGGAGTGGTTCTGCAGGTAGTGACCACAGACCACTTCTCAGTTCCTATGCTTCCTGGCTGATGTTTTGGTCACTTTTGAATGCTGGCGGTGCTTTCACTCTAGTGGTAGCATGAGACGGAGTCTACAACCCACACAAGTGGCTCAGGTAGTGCAGCTCACCAGGATGGCACATCAATGCGAGCTGTGGCAAGAAGGTTTGCTGTGTCTGTCAGCGTAGTGTCCAGAGCATGGAGGAGCTACCAGGAGACAGGCCAGTACATCAGGAGACGTGGAGGAGGCCGTAGTAGGGCAACAACTCAGCAGCAGGACTGCTACCTCCGCCTTTGTGCAAGGAGGAGCACTGCCAGAGCCCTGCAAAATGACCTCCAGCAGGCCACAAATGTGCATGTGTCTGCTCAAACGGTCAGAAACAGACTCCATGAGGGTGGTATGAGGGCCCGACGTCCACAGGTGGGGGTTGTGCTTACAGCCCAACACCGTGCAGGACGTTTGGCATTTGCCAGAGAACACCAAGATTGGCAAATTCGCCACTGGCGCCCTGTGCTCCTCACAAATGAAAGCAGGTTCACACTGAGCACATGTGACAGACGTGACAGAGTCTGGAGACGCCGTGGAGAACGTTCTGCTGCCTGCAACATCCTCCATCATGACCGGTTTGGCGGTGGGTCAGTCATGGTGTGGGGTGGCATTTCTTTGGGGGGCCACACAGCCCTCCATGTGCTCGCCAGAGGTAGCCTGACTGCCATTAGGTACCGAGATGAGATCCTCAGACCCCTTGTGAGACCATATGCTGGTGCGGTTGGCCCTGGGTTCCTCCTAATGCAAGACAATGCTAGACCTCATGTGGCTGGAGTGTGTTAGCAGTTCCTGCAAGAGGAAGGCATTGATGCTATGGACTGGCCCGCCCGTTCCTCAGACCTGAATCCAATTGAGCACATCTGGGACATCATGTCTCGCTCCATCCACCAACGCCACGTTGCACCACAGACTGTCCAGGAGTTGGCGGATGCTTTAGTCCAGGTCTGGGAGGAGATCCCTCAGGAGACCATCCGCCACCTCATCAGGAGCATGCCCAGGCGTTGTAGGGAGGTCATAGCGTTGTGGTCCTCTGTAGCTCAGCTGGTAGAGCACGGCGCTTGTAACGCCAAGGTAGTGGGTTCGATCCCCGGGACCACCCATACACAAAAATGTATGCACACATGACTGTAAGTCGCTTTGGATAAAAGCGTCTGCTAAATGGCATATTATTATTTATTATTATTATACAGGCACGTGGAGGCCACACACACTACTGAGCCTCATTTTGACTTGTTTTAAGGACATTACATCAAAGTTGGATCAGCCTGTAGTGTGGTTTTCCACTTTAATTTTGAGTGTGACTCCAAATCCAGACCTCCATGGGTTGATACATTTGATTTCCATTGATAATTTTTTTGTGATTTTGTTGTCAGCACATTAAACTATGTAAAGAAAAAAGTATTTAATAAGATTATTTCATTCATTCAGATCTAGGATGTGTTATTTTAGTGTTCCCTTTATTTTTTTGAGCAGTGTATTACTGCACTGTCGGAGCTAGAAACACAAGCATTTCACTACAACTGCAATAACATCTCACAGTTAATGGATTTCAAGCAAAGATTTAACCTCAAAGCCACCCTGGAGCTTTCAGAACATCTCATGAATACATTTGTAGGCAGGTACAGGTCAGAGGAGTGTCCTTTTAGCACGGTCAAGTTAATAATTAAGCTGTGAATGATTTATCACATCACCCAGACACTACAAAGACCTGTTTGTCTATCCTAACTGAGCTGCCAGAGAGGAAGATAATGCAATGACACCGTGAGGCCATGGTGATTGTAAAATAGCTAGAGTGTTTTGGTTCGGATGGATAAAAAAACAACAACATTGCAGTCACTCCACAATACTAGCAGGGTCAAAAGAAAAATGGTGCAAAGCCCACATAAAACATATTCAGTCTTGAATGCCTGACACTGGATAAGAGGTTCACATTTCACCAGGACAATAACCTAAAATAAGACCAACGCTACACTGGAGTGACTTGCCAAGATGTTTAATGTCCCTGAAACCCTGTTTTTACCCGGTTCTAACATTTGTCCTGATCTTGGGTAGTGCTGAAGATCCGTGTAACAGCACTATTTAAACGTAAAAGTAATTTCCGATTGAGCCAACATATGCAGCGTTTACTGTGAATGCGGTCTCTGCGAATTTAAAATAGGATTGTAGCACAGATCTTCAGCTCTACGGATTGAGCCACTTGTCCACAATCAGATTGTGCCCACATTGACAGGTGGCACCATTGACTTATGTCATCAGTATGTGTCTTTAATATATACAGTGAGGGAAAAAAGTATTTGATCCCCTGCTGATTTTGTACGTTTGCCCACTGACAAAGAAATGATCAGTATAATTTTTATGGTAGGTTTATTTGAACAGTGAGAGACAGAATAACAACAAAAAAATCCAGAAAAATGCATGTCAAAAATGTTATAAATGTATTTGCATTTTAATGAGGGAAATAAGTATTTGACCCCCTCTCAATCAGAAAGATTTCTGGCTCCCAGGTGTCTTTTATACAGGTAACGAGCTGAGATTAGGAGCACACTCTTAAAGGGAGTGCTTCTAATCTCAGCTTGTTACCTGTATAAAAGACACCTGTCCACAGAAGCAATCAATCAATCAGATTCCAAACTCTCCACCATGGCCAAGACCAAAGAGCTCTCCAAGGATGTCAGGGACAAGATTGTAGACCTACACAAGGCTGGAATGGGCTACAAGACCATCGCCAAGCAGCTTGGTGAGAAGGTGACAACAGTTGGTGCGATTATTCGCAAATGGAAGAAACACAAAAGACCTGTCAATCTCCCTCGGCCTGGGGCTCCACGCAAGATCTCACCTCGTGGAGTTGCAATGATCATGAGAACGGTGAGGAATCAGCCCAGAACTACACGGGAGGATCTTGTCAATGATCTCAAGGCAGCTGGGACCATAGTCACCAAGAAAACAATTAGTAACACACTACGCCGTGAAGGACTGAAATCCTGCAGTGCCCGCAAGGTCCCCCTGCTCAAGAAAGCACATATACAGGCCCGTCTGGCAGGAAAACTGGTCACAATGCAGACAAAGGTGGACGGATAAGACAGTTAAATACCGTATAAACGCATATCTGAAAATGTGGGCACAATCAGAATGTGGACAAGATCAGGATGCATGTTAGAATCAGGTATAAACAGGGCCTATTCTCAGTTCTGACTTAAATCTGCATCAAAATTTGTGACGGCAAAGTTGGTGGAGACCTTTTCAAAAAGTGGGTAAAACTGCTGCTAAAGGTGCTTCCACCAAGTATTGACTCTGGGGTGCGAATAAATACCTTTCTTGAAAGGTTGTTGTGAATAAATCCCAATGTAATGTTTTTTCCTGTAAAGGTACGGCAAGTAATAGAAAACAGTGCAAGGGAGAGAATGCTTTCCATAAGCACAGTGATAGCTGCATCATATTTACACCCTTTATCTCAAAACAAATTACTATACTGTTTTGAATGACACAGGATCTAGAAATATCAACTCTGCCCTAGACATTTTAACAAAGTGAGATATATCAATACTACAACCGCATAAAAAATAAGTAATCACATTTAAAGGGTGAACAAAGCTAGTATTCTCTGTCTGGATCTTAAAGTCTGATGTCCTTGATGATGAATTAAGTTTAAGGTTGAGTTCTGGGATCTATTCCATTTATGACCTGGATTCAAGAGAGTACTGTCAGAGTACAGCCTGCTTAAAGGAAGACTCAGCCATATGACAACATCCTACAAACCGGGGAAACTTCCTGTTTACAGACATCAACAACAACAGAATTTTGATGTGCTAAGACTGACACTATTGGCTCTAGACTAGAGGGTTGTTTCCATTGGTCAATTATCTATTGATTCTAAGGTTAAACTTAAGGAAGGTTTTCTGTTTTTGATCACGCAAGGCTATATTTTGAAAGCTCACAACCCCTGCGTGAATAAGGTCCAATATGTGGCAGTCTTGGCAGATTTGAATTATCAGGTTAATATTTGTAAGCAGGAAGTCGTCATGCTGTGTATGATGATGTCATATTGCTGAGTTCACCTATAATATTGTAATTGTTGCCACCTGTATTCCACTACGGCTAGCGGTGAGGCTCAGGTGGTACAGCTGTGGGTTCATCCTCTTTCCTCCATGCCTCATTCTTCCCTTCCCTCACTCACTTCATTCAGCTCAGCTGTTGGAGGGCTGTTCAGGCTTCAGGCGGATAGCCCAGGAGTTTGCAGAGACCACGTTGCCGCTACGATGGATGCGACAGGTATAAGTGCCCTCGTTAAACTCGTTGGCGACGATGCGGAGGTCGCGGTCCTTCATGATGATGTAGCCGGGGATAGAGAGCAGGAGCTGCTCTCCATCCTTGTACCAGCTGGAGCAAGGTCAAAGGTCATGCCAGGGAAGAGCACAGGGAGAGAGAACCCAATCATTGAAATGTCATGTATGTACGTCCAACAACCTTTGCCAGAAACATAATCATAGTAAAAGAAGAAAAAACTACCTGCATGCTGTTTAAATGCTCCCATAAAAAGACCTGATAAAACAATGGGAGAATCTGACCATTAATTATATAGTGGTCAGAGGTTGTGACGCGGTCTAAGCACCTGCCTTTGGATCACATGTATTGTGTGCATTGGTTCGAATCCAACCCACTGCTCTAGCACCCTCTCTCCTCCTATCTACCTAGCTCTATCCTGTCCAATAAACACCAAAAATAGGATTTGTACATTACTGTATTTAGACTATTCTCTCACCTGACTTTGGGAGGCGATCTAGGATTCTTCGTCCCACAGCGGAAGCCCACAACCTTTCCACGAGGAACCATCTTGATCTTGACGTTGGCAGGCGGTGGACTTAGCGTGGTAACATCCTCAAGAGGCTCTACAGGAAGTGAGTGAAGTACCAGGACAGTTATAATACTTCCCCCACAAGATAGGCCTAATATTCCTCTATGGCTTTTTCTCAATTAATCTTTCCTCAATTCCTCGGTTGAGAAAAAGGAGAGAAGATAGGATGCGAGGAATCGTGTAAAGATTTTAAATTCGAGTCTATTGGGGATAAAACATATGCCACAGAGGTGATATCAGTACAGTAGGACAAGGGAGGATACAGGACACAGAGTTGGGAAAGCCTGAATGTTGGCAACATAGCATTTTAGTTATCCGTTTCGCAAATGCTGTTATTCAAAGCGCCAGACAGGTCCATAATCACACATCTGATTTGGAGAGATAATCAACAGTAATTCAAAGGAAAGCCATCTACCAGGCAGCCAGTTTGTGTTAAAACGTCCAAAATCTAATCTAGCAAAACCAGGCTAGATCCACATTTAACTATCAAGTCCTGATCCATTTGCTGGCTTAAGACAGTCCTAAATGCATGCCATTCATGGGATCTCATGTAGATAGTGTATATGGAGATTGGAACTTTAAATTCAATTTAAATTCCAACTGGTGAACTGCGTTGTAGTTAAATTTATGTCCAATGAAGAGTGGACAATATGTCTGTCTGACCATAGCAGAGGTCACAGTGGCGGGCACAGTGTTTCTTCATGAAGCTCTTCCTCCTCTCGCAGAAGCCAAGGCGAGCCCATGGATCACACACGCGCTTCTTGTCCATGCATCCTGGAATACAACACACATATAGACATTCATGGTTGCTCTTAGCATTTTCTTAGTGTTATGTTTTATACCTGTGTAATAAAACGAATTACTTGTGTATCAATAACATTGTATTAACATGTTACATAGTACTGTAGTAATTGTATTGCTATCGTGTTGTAATTGCACAATGAGTTGAGTGGGAATTGGTGGAATAGAGTATGTTAATACAATGTTAAGACCATTTTAATACACTGTTAGAAATGACATCATTACAATACATGTATACAAAATATATATATATATAAAGTCTTAATTTATAATTGCAAACAAACAAAAAAACATATGATTGATCTGTGTGTTCCTTTACCATAGAGGCGCTGGATTCCCCAGATGTCGTCCTGGGCAATGTCCCTCTGGCCCGTGTAGGTGGCATTGGAGTGCATCAGGGGCCTGGGGGTCACGGGAGTGCCACAGTACACCTCCACCAGGTCATTCAACCACACACCTGGGGAAAGGAACAGAAACAATTACGCACGTACACAAATTATATCAAATAACAAAGGGGATTTGGATCCCTGGATAGAATACATAGTCATTATACACGTGATTGATCAGTGTTGTGTGTCTGGTGTGTGATTTGAGGTAACATCTAGATTCTAGAATTGTGTGTTGGTATATAAAGGTAACTTAAAGGTAACTGCCAAAATAAAGGAAACACTTGAGTAAATGAGGGATCAAGGTATATTGAAAGCAGGTGCTTCCACACAGGTTTGGTTTTCAGAGTTAATTAAGTAATTAATATCCCATCATGCTTAGGGTCATGTATTTAAATGCCCAGTTGCCCATTATTTTGGGTACGATGGCTAGAACAGGAGAGCTCAGTGACTTTGAAAGAGGGGTCTCAATGGAGCATAGGGGGTTTAAAGTGTGTGTGTGTGTGTGTGTGTGTGTGTGTGTGTGTGCGCATCTCACAGTCACCAGATTTCAACCCATTTGAAAACTTATGGGAGATTCTGAAGCGGCGGCTGAGACAGCGTTTTCCAACATCAACAAAACATAAAATGATGGAATTTCTCGTGGAAGAATGTTGTCGCATCCCTCCAATAGAGTTCCAGACACTTGTAGAATCTATGCCATAAGGGCACGTGCCCCATCAGATTTGTCCTGATAAAAAAATTATATATATATATATATATATACACTACCAGTCAAAAGTTTGGACACACCTACTCATTCAAGGGTTTTTCCTAATTTTTACATTGTAGAATAATAGTGAAGACATCAAAACTATGAAATAACACATATGGAATCATGTAGTAACCAAAAAAGTGCCAAGAGTGTGCAAAGCTGTCATCAAGGCAAAGGGTGGCTGCTTTGAAGCATCTCAAATATAAAATATATTTTGATTCATATAAAATATATTTTGATTTGTTTAACACTTTTTTGTTTACTACATGATTCCATATGTGTTATTTCATAGTTTTGATGTCTTCAATATTATTCTACAATGTAGAAAATAGTACAAATAAAGAAAAACCATTGAATGAGTAGGTGTGTCCAAACTTTTGACTGGTAGTGTATATGTGTGATGTATCAATCAATATGCTGTATGTTTTTTGTTTTTGTTTGTTTGTTTGTTTTTGTTATTTGCTGTGCTTGTAAAATGTAATTATTGAATGCCACATAAAATATTTAATGTTGTGAAAACCAATAAATAAAATGTTTCGCCCCAAAAAAGGACAAGGGGGATAACGGAAGTATGTTTGACATACACATTATCAAGTGCACCTACCCAGCAGGCAAAATGTGGAAAATAACAACTTAATGATGTCATTCTCTGGTTGTAAACTGGTTTTCTGGTTGAGGATACGTCAACCAGATTATAACGAACTGGTCTCTGTTAGAACCAGGTAAACCAGAGTTTTTTTCAAGACAACATCAAGATTACATCTGATAAAAATGTCTAAAATGATATCATAGACGTCAATCGATTCCTTTGAAATCCATGGGTGGGGGAAAGTGAACGAAGGGTAGAGAATCGGAGCACAGACAGACAGAGTAGAGATTCTTTGCACCTTGTTTCCAGCTGAAGAGGGACTTCCCCAGGATCCATAACTTGTGGTTGTCAAATCAAATCTTATTTGCCACATGCGCCGAATACAACAGGTGTAGACATTACCGTGAAATGCTTACTTACAGCCCTTAACCAACAATGCATTTATTTCTTAATAAAAAAGTAAAATAAAACAACAACAACAAAAAAGTGTTGAGAAAAAAAGAGCAGAAGTAAAATAAAATAATAGTAGGGAGGCTATATATACAGGGGGGTACCGGTGCAGAGTCAATGTGCGGGGGTACCCGGCTAGTTGAGGTAGTTGAGGTAATATGTACATGTGGGTAGAGTTAAAGTGACTATGCATAAATAATTAACAGAGTAGCAGCAGCATAAAAAGATGGGGTGGGGGTGCAAATAGTCCGGGTAGCCATGATTAGCTGTTCAGGAGTCTTATGGCTTGGGGGTAGAAGCTGTTGAGAAGCCTTTTGGACCTAGACTTGGCGCTCCGGTACCGCTTGCCGTGCGGTAGCAGAGAGAACAGTCTATGACTAGAGTGGCTGGAGTCTTTGACAATTTTTAGGGCCTTCCTCTGACACCGCCTGGTATACAGGTCCTGGATGGCAGGAAGCTTGGCCCCAGTGATGTACTGGGCCGTACGCACTACCCTCTGTAGTGCCTTGCGGTCGGAGGCCGAGCAGTTGCCATACCAGGCGGTGATGCAACCAGTCAGGATGCTCTCGATGGTGCAGCTGTATAACTTTTTGAGGATCTGAGGACCCATGCCAAATCTTTCAGTCTCCTGAGGGGGAATAGGCTTTGTTGTGCCTTTGCCACGACTGTCTTGGTGTGTTTGGACCATGATAGTTCGTTGGTGATGTGGACACCAAGGAACTTGAAGCTCTCAACCTGTTCCACTACAGCCCCGTCGATGAGAATGGGGGCGTGCTCAGTCCTCTTTTTTTTCCTGTAGTCCACAATCATCTCCTTTGTCCTGGTCACGTTGAGGGAGAGGTTGTTATCCTGGCACCACACGGCCAGGTCTCTGACCTCCTCCCTATAGGCTGTCTCATCGTTGTCGGTGATCAGGCCTACCACTGTTGTCGGTGATCAGGCCTACCACTGTTGTGTCATCGGCAAACTTAATGATGGTGTTGGAGTCGTGCCTGGCCATGCAGTCATGGGTGAACAGGGAGTACAGATGTGTTGTTACCTACCCTTATCACCTGGGGGCGGTCCGTCAGGAAGTCCAGGATCCAGTTGCAGAGGGAGGTGTTTAGTCCCAGGATCCTTAGCTTAGTGATGCGCTTTGAGGGCACTATGGTGTTGAACGCTGAGCTGTAGTCAATGAATAGCATTCTCACGTAGGTGTTCATCTTGTCCAGGTGGGAAAGGGCAGTGTGGAGTGCAATAGAGATTGCATCATCTGTGCATCTGTTGGGGCAGTATGCAAATTGGAGTGGGTCTAGGGTTTCTGGGATAATGGTGTTGATGTGAGCCATGACCAGCCTTTCAAAGCACTTCATGGCTACAGACATCAGTGCTACGGGTCGGTAGTCATTTAGGCAGGTTATCTTAGTGTCCTTGGGCACATGGACTATGGTGGTCTGCTTGAAACATGTTGGTATTACAGACTCAGTCAGGGACATGTTGAAAATGTCAGTGAAGACACTTGCCAGTTGGTCAGCACATGCTCGGAGTCAAAGTGTATCTCCCCGCGTGGGGGCAGGAAGGCATGGGCCAACTCCCCGTTTAGCCCATCAAAACAGGGATGCAATGGAGACCACCAGCAATCTGTGTGGTTCCACGTGTAGAAGCCTGGAAACATGTGCACATGCACGCACACACACACACACACACACACACACACACACACACACACACACACACACACTTAAAGCAGGGGGTATTAAACAGTTTTAACAAATATTGAGATACACACACACACACACACACACACACACACACACCCTTAACTTAATGTCTCACCCATAGTGATACAATAAGGTTCTATTGAATTATGTGGTCTCACCGATGACAATGTCAGCACTCTTGTTGGGGTTTGTGATTTCGGCAAAGAAGAGAGGGGACACGTCGCTCCACTTGGAGAACGCAATGCTGATGGCCTTGCGGGTGTCGTCTTTATTCAGCGTGTTGGGAAAGTTCACGATCCTGACAGACATGAACGGACACGCAGACAAACAGACAGACATAGACAGAGAAAGACAGACACAAGTATAGACAGGAAAGTGACAGACAATGTGACAAACTTGGATTCCCCAAAACACAGTGCTGTTCCCTTTCAGTCGATCACTCGGTATATAATATATTATGGGGAGTCCTACGACCAACCATGTTCACCTGAAAAAAACTGAAATCGCCCAACGGGCCAATGGATGCTGAGCCAGCCCCCGGAAACCCTGCCTTCCTGACTATAATACCGGGGTTCGCATCCATTTCCTCAATTCTTCTCTTTCCAGCTCACCTGAAGGTAGAACGTGTCACGTAAATGACAAACGTTTCAAGCACACAAAGACTACGAGATTCGGCTCCGACTTAGGAGCGATGGAACGTTGTGTCGCATCCTGGACACCGTTCCTGCCGATTCCAAAGTGATGTTACGTCCTAATGCAGCTTTTGCTCCCAAGGTTATGCCTATGTCTTACAGGTCCCGGACTTTCGACAAGGACAAGAGTTGCCTAGCGGTGTGCATGCTCACTCCACTAGGGGTGTGGCGGCTGCTTGGGCATTGTTCAGGGGCATGATGATTGGTGATATCTGTGCTTCAGCGAGTTAGGGTTCCCGACATACCCTTGTGAGATTTTAACACGTGGATGCAACTTCTCCTAGTGTGGTTCATAGTGTTCTTATGGTTGGGTCCGGGAGTGGGTGTTGGCAGCGCGCAGGTTGCGCATTTATACGGCTTACCACAATTCCCTGTGGTTTGAGCCATGGGCTGCCTTGGGGTATGGCAGTGCGTAAAGTGTGCATTATCAAGGTTACCACAGTTTCCTGTGGGTTTGAGCCTCGGGCTACCGTGGTTCATCGACTCTGGTTGATGCTATGCAGCGTGAGTGTGCGCTTTACCAAGTCACAACAGGTGTTCTGTTGTTTTGAACTTGCAGTTCCTTGAACGAGTTCTGACATTTCAGGCTCGCAAGGTATGTATTGTTCTTGGAACCATGGGGTCTATGGACTTGGGCTGCAGTGGCAGCGTGTCAGTGCGCATAGCCAAGTTGCAGCAGGTTCTGTTTCCCTAGATGGGGCTCTGACAGTTCAGGCTTCTCGGGTATTAGGGAAAAAGGTGGCATCTGTAGCCGCTTTTTGGAACCGGTAGAACCTGTGTGTGCTTGGGCTGCCGTGAGCCTCCTATTCTGGTACCCTATTTACATTTACATTTTAGTCATTTAGCAGACGCTCTTAACCAGAGCGACTTACAGGAGCAATTAGGGTTAAGTGCCTTGCTCAAGGGCACATTAACGTCATTTAGCAGACGCTCTTAGCCAGAGCGACTCACAAATTGGTGCGTTCACCCTATAGCCAGTGGGATAACCACTTTACAATTTGGGGGGGGGGGGGGGGGGGGTTGGAAGGAATACTTTAGCCTATCCCAGGTATTCCTTAAAGAGGTGGGGTTTCAAATGTCTCCGGAAGGTGGTGAGTGACTCCGCTGTCCTGGCGTCTTGAGGGAGCTTGTTCCACCATTGGGGTGCCAGAGCAGCGAACAGTTTTGACTGGGCTGAGCGGGAGCTGTGCTTCCGCAGAGGAAGGGGAGCCAGCAGGCCAGAGGTGGATGAACGCAATGTCCTCGTTTGGGTGTAGGGACTGATCAGAGCCTGAAGGTACAGGGGTGCCGTTCCCCTCACTGCTCCAAAGGCAAGCACCATGGTCTTGTAGCGGATGCGAGCTTCAATTGGAAGCCAGTGGAGTGTGCGGAGGAGGGGGGTGACGTGAGAGAACTTGGGAAGGTTGAACACCAGACGGGCTGCGGCATTCTGGATGAGTTGTAGGGGTTTAATGGCACAGGCAGGGAGCCCAGCCAGCTTGGGGCGTGATTGTATGTTCCCATAGTATGTTATATCGAGTGACCGACTGAAAGGGAACGTATGAAAATAACTACTGTTAGGTATAACATATAGCCCTGTGCTGTCAGGGGATTTGGGCTCGCTGAAGAGAGGATTGGATAGGTTAGGTGGAATTGCTGCCATATTCCTAATCTACAGTGCCTTAAGAAAGTATTCATACCCCTTGACGTATTCCACATTTTGTTATGTTACAGCCTGAATTCAAAAAGGATTAAATAGATTTTTGTTCTCAACCATTTACACATAATACCCCATAATAACAAAGTGAAAACATATTTTTAGAAAAAATTGTTTTGCTAATTCAGTGAAAATGAAATACAGAAATATCACATTTACATAAGTATTCACACCCCTGATTCAATACATGTTAGAATCACCTTTGGCTGTGATTACAGCTGTGAGTCTTTCTGGGTAAGTCTCTAAGAGCTTTGCACACCTGGATTGCACATTATTATTTTTAAAATTCTTCAAGCTCTGTCAAGTTGGTTGTTGATCATTGTATATTTGGCGTTGTGTGTTAGGTTATTGTCCTGCTGAAAGGGGAATTTGTCTCCCAGTCTATGTTGGAAAGCAGACTCAACCAGGTTTTCCTCTAGAATTTTGCCTGTGCTAAGCTCTATTCCGTTTCTTTTTGCCTAAAAAAACTCCCTAGTCCTTGCCGATGACAAGCATATCCGCAACATGATGCAGCCACCACCATGCTTGAAAGAAATGAAGAGTGGTACTCAATGATGTGCTGTGTTGGATTTGCCCCAAACATAACACTTTGTATTCTGGACATAAAGTTAGTTTATTTAGCACATTTCTTGCAGTTTTATTTTAGTGCCTTATTGCATGTTTTGGAATATTTATATTCTGTATTTAGGTTAATATTATGGTTTCCTTCCTCTCCGGCAACTGAGTTAGGAAGGACGCCTGCATCTTTGTGGTGACTGGGTGTATTTATACACCATCCAAAGTGTAATTAATAACTTTACTATGCTGAAAGGGATATTCAATGTCTGCTTTTTTTATTTTGACCAATCTACCAATAGGTGCCCTTCTTTGCGGGGCATGGGAAAACCTCCCTGGTCTTTGTGGTTGAATCTGTGTTTGAAATTCGCTGCTCGACTGAGGGACCTTACAGATAATTGTATGTGTGGGGTACAGAGATGAGCTAGTCATTAAAAAATAATGTTAAACACTATTATTGCACACAGAGTGAGTCCATGCAACTTATTATTTGACTTGTTAAGCAAATGATTACTCCTGACATTATTAAGGCATGCCATAAACAAAGGGTTTAAATTGACTCAAGACATTACAGCTTTTCAATTTTAATGAACTTGTAAACCAATTCTAAAAACATAATTCCACTTTGACATTATGGGGTATTGTGTGTTACGCCAGTGACACAAAATCTCAATTTAATACATTTTTAATTCAGGCTGTAACACACCAAAATATTAAAAAGTCAAGGGGTGTGAACAATGTTCCTTCTAAACTGCGCGCGGGCGCGCAGCTCATCCGGGACTGCCAAGCAGAAGAAATATCAGCCTGCGCAGGGAAGCATGAAATTGAACTTCACTCAACTTCCTACAGTTTTCCCCCTTAGTTAACACTATGAACGTTTCCCTTTACTGTGGGAATTGTGATCAAATCAATGCAATATTAGCCACTTTCAATGCAACATACCGAAACTAAATTAACTATGCAAGAGATTTTGCTGTAGGCAGAACGCATCGGAGTACAATTCAGCACCAATAAGAGCTGCAGTAGGCCTATATGCAAATAGACCATTGCCATATATGTGTCTGTGCATTCTCTTTGAACTGGACTGTGTTTACAGCATGAGTGGTTGTGAGTAGACGCCCAGTTATAGATACACTATATATACAAAAGTATGTGGAAACCCCTTCAAATTAGTGGATTCGGCTACTTCAGCCACACCAGTTGCTGACAGGTGTATAAAATCTAGCACACAGCCATGTAATCTCCATAGACAAACATTGGCAGTAGAATGGACTTACTGAAGAGAATTTCAGTGAATTTCAATGTGGCACCGTCATAGGATGCCACCTTTCCAACAAGTCAGTTCGTCAAATGTCTGCCCTGCTAGAGCTGCCCCAGTCAACTGTACGTGATCTTATTGTGAAGTGGAAACATCTAGGAGCAACAACTACTCAGCCGCGAAGTGGTAGGCCACACAAGCTCATAGAACGGGACTGCCGAGTGCTGAAGCGTGTAAAAATCGTCTGTCCTCGGTTGCAACACTCAACACCGAGTTCCAAACTGCCTCTGGAAGCAACGTCAGCACAATAATTGTTCGTCGGGAGCTTCATGAAATGGGTTTCCATGGCCAAGCACCCACACACAAGCCTAAGATCACCATGTGCAATGCCAAGCGTCGGCTGGAGTGGTGTAAAGCTCGCCGCCATTGGACTCTGGAGCAGTGGAAATGCATTCTCTGGAGTGATGAATCAGGCTTCACCATCTGGCAGTCCGACGGAAGAATCTGGGTTTGGCGGATGCCAGGAGTGCACTACCTGCCCCAATGCGTAGTGCCAACTGTAAAGTTTGGTGGAGGAGGAATAATGGTCTGGGGCTGTTTTTCATGGTTCGGGCTAGGCCCCTTAGTTCCGGTGAAGGGAGATCTTAACGCTACAGCATACAATGACATTCTAGATGATTCTGTGCTTCCAAATTTGTGGCAACAGTATGGGGAAGGCACTTTCCTGTTTCAGTATGACAATGCTCCCGTACACAAAGCGAGGTCCATATAGAAATGGTATGTCGAGATCGGTGTGGAAGAACTTGACTGGCCTGCACAGAGCCCTGACCTCAACCCCATCGAACACCTTTGGGATGAATTGGAACGCCGACTGCGAGCCAGGCCTAATCGCCCAACATCAGTGCCTGACCTCACTAATGCTCGTGGCTGAATGGAAGCAAGTCCCCGCAGCAATGTTCCAACATCTAGTGGAAAGCCTTTCCAGTAGAGTGGAGGCTGTTATAGCAGCAAAGGGGGGACCAACTCTATATTAATGCCCATGATTTTGGAATGAGATGTTCGACGAGCAGGTGTCCACATACTTTAGGCCATGTAGTGTAAATTATAGTCAGCAATGGGGGAGTGATTGCTTCCTACAACAGCACAAAACGTGTACATTTTCTAGACATCTTTGAAAATCGAGTCAGGTGAAGAGCTTTTTATTTGTCTTAAAGGGGCAGTGTTGTATTTTGAGATAGGCTTGAATAAGCTAAGTAGCCAATAGGCAGAGGGTAGCATAATTTGTCTGATTCTCTGTAATAATGGTATGAGAATAATAGTGCATTTTATTTTGTAAAGTGGTTTCTTGCGTCAAATAACAACATTTTCAGTCACCTCCTTGTCTGAAGGACAAGTGAATAAACAGGTTAATGTCAAGCCCTGCATGTTTTTTTCAAACGTGTCATGGAATGTAGGCCTACATTGAACACCACACATTGGCTGCTACTGTAGGCTGACTGATAGAACAGCTATTTCCATGTTAAAATGTTATGGGAAGCATTTTCTCCATCGTTTTTGATGCTAGGCCACTCTGGTAGGCCTACATTATGATCAAATAGCCACAGTCGCCTACTTGACCACTGTTAAAACTGTAACTTAAAGCGGGTACAGCCTCAGTGTTCACAGTAAACACGTGCTGGAAGTTGCACAGAATTTACACAACGTTCAAGTTTACGCTCAGCAGACCTGAAATTTGCTCAGTGCCAAAAACAATTGAGGGAACATTGGCTGTGAATACTTTGAAGGCACTGAATCCTCTCAGATCTCCAAAAGTGCCTTGGGGATAGGGACAAGGGTCTGAATTGGGATTCAGGGTCTCACTTGTAGGTGAGGTTGAAATGCTTCCACTTGTGGCCCAGTGGGTTGATGGCGTAACGTTTGGAGCGACTCAGTGCCGCTCCCGTCACAGGATGATGCTTCACAGAGCTCAGGGACTCCACAGACAGCCCACCAGCTTCCTGAAAGAGAGGGAGGGAGGGGGAGAGAAAGAGAGAGAGATTGTTTGTTTGTTTATGATCTATTTCACAAGGCTTTGGCAATGTTAACATATGTTTCCCATGCCAATAAAGCCCTTTAAATTGAGAGAGAGATTATTAGAGGTGACAAGAGGAGCATGACATGACCATGGAGAGGTGAAAACAGTGTGTGTGTGTGTGTGTGTGTGTGTGTGTGTGAGCGAGAGAGAAGCTTTGCACAGTCAGTATGTTGCAGTAGAGAGAATGTTACAGCGCCTGAAACAAAGCACAAATTAGCAGTAGCCTGTGAAACAAGACAGGACTTTTATTTCGTATTATTTTATATTGTATTTTTTGGGGCATTCTTTCTTAAAACTGCATTGTTGGTTAAGGGCTTGTAAGTAAGCATTTCACTGTAAGGTCTACACCTGTTGTATCCAGCGCATGTGACAAATAAAATTTGACTTGATTTGAAAATCCCTTCAATGACGACAACATGTGGAATCTGCAACTGGGGGAAGGATTTCAACTCCCCTCCGAAGACAAAATAGTTAGTTGTTCATTCTATTTATCCACTTTTCTTCCACTATTTCTTCTACTATGAGTTAAAAGCAATAAATTAAAGTCAAGTTAAGTCATTGCATTTTTCAGGCTTCCTGGCAAAAGGCCTCCTCTAGGAAAAAAAGAAAAGACACTTGGCACAAGTGCAAAAGGGAACAGAAATCACAACTTAATCCTACACAGACGTGGAACCCTCCTCCTCTGCTCTCATCCCATGACAGTCCCTCTCCATCTATCCATCTCGCTATGCTAAAATATCTGTCACCCATATGTGAGCAGAAGCATACCCTTCCAGCCCTCCCCCTCACCACTCCTTCCTTTATTTTATTTTTCTCCCCATTTATTCCCCTGTTCTATTGTAATACTGATCAATGCATTAGTATGGTTGGCTATTTAATCACTCATGCAAAAATAAACATGCACAAAAATACATGAGGTCAAACCTGTGTACCTGTGTAAGTGTAGCCTACTTAAAACACTAGTTTTTTTCTGGAAAAAAAAACGATACCAAAACACAATAAATTAATGCAAATACTGGGCTTGTTGAGTCGCCTAAATATACATTTTTTATAATTTCCATGTGCAGCCGCCCACTTACCGTTTTCCTTCTACACAGTTCGGGAGTCCGTCGACCCCATCCAACCCTACCAACATCAGCACTAGTAGAAAAAGTATTGGACGAGTTCTGCCCATCTCCATTGGCTTCCTGTGCTCCATTGGAACATGTAGTATTTTTACAGTTCACAGTCAATGGTAGCCTACACTCAATGTTGAGAGCATATAGTTCTGCTAAATGCAAGGCGTGAATACTTGGTATAAAAGAGTTTGATCATCTCGGATAGGCTATTGTATTCAGGTGTTTTCATGCAGAAAGCATGAGTAGGCTATCCTTCCTCTGAACCAGAACGCGGTGCCTATCACAACGTGGAAACCAAATTCGAACAGCTCTGCAGACAATTGGCCAATTGAGCATGGAGCTCCAAATTATCCCGTACAATCAAACTCATATCATTATCAGCATTCCGCGCAATTGCGCTGGGATATAATTGTAAACTCCTACTTTTCTGCCGAGTCCTTCGTTAATTGAATCGCATTTGTATGTTTATTGGATAACTTTGGTACTTCCCTACCTAGTCCATGGAGCGACCGAACGGATCAGGTGTCGGACATCCTCCTTCGGGCACGTCAGTCGAGTGGTGGGGCAGAGAGAGAGCACCGCCCAGTTCTGAAACAACAATGTGTCTTTCAGCCTCTGCTCTCCCATTCTCTCAAACTTCACCCAGTTCTCACCCAGGCGAATAGATGATAAAATGGTCAACTGTCTTCAAAGACAGAATTCAAGTCTTCAAACTATTGCTGAGCTGTAAGCTCTTACTGTGATAGCTCCTCAGCGAATTATGGATCATCCATTGAAGAGGAAGGCATCTAGTAGCCTATCATGACTAGCCCACAATATGCCCAATCCTGGTTAGGCTACAGCAATGTGTCACCATCTGCAATGTTGTGGCTCAGGACCAGGCTTTAGGCTTCACCTCACTGCACTAGGGGTTTGTTCTAGCCTACATCCCTTCAGTCACCTTCAGAAAGTGCCCACGCTGGCAACTCTAAAAGTCATACAATTCTGCATGTGAAGTGTGCTCTCATAAAAAATCCATTGTGCAGAATGAGGTAACATTTTTGACAATGGAACTTTTTGGCATTGCCCATGGTCTGGCTGGCCAAGTGGTCCACAGTTTCCCCCTATCCCCATCACTCAGGCTGACCTTAGGAAGGCACCGAGACAGCCTGTGGTTTTCAATAGAAGAGGACCCCTGTGACTCTTAAGAACATAAAGAAGGAAATTGGGGGTTATGTTGCATGATATTTACGGATCAGGCCCAACGACAATGCTTTTGTTGTCCCGTCGTTCCTCCGATAAATTCAAAAAAGATTGCAGTTTTGAAACTGCAGTAAAAGTGCAGTAACTGCAGTCGACTGTGGTATTTTGGACGCAGTATCTGCAGCATACTGCAGTTATACTGCACTCTGACTGCAATCTTTTTTCTTAAGGGTTATGATCAATTAATCACTTTTTTGACTGAGAAAGTTAACTAGTTGCTGGCCTACGCTTAACTTAAAATTGCCCGGACACAAAACCAGAAATGAGAGATGAGGGATACTGTAAGAACCGTCAGAGACCATCACACATTTTTAAATGCTGTAAAACTACTACTCTTTAACACACATCAAAAGGATTAACGCATTAAAAGTATATATTTTAACTTGTGTTTATATATTGTGATGTCACGAGAGGCTGTGTCCTGGAGGGACGTTACATCCCCCTGAGGTGGCTGCAAACCCAGACAGCTATGGCTCCATCTGCTGGTATGGTCGGGAACTCCACCCCTCTATGGCCAATCTTCCCACGCAGCTGAAACAAATCAGGAGCTGATGAGCTGAAGGTTTTGGAAGGGAAGAGACACACTGAGGGAGTGTGTGGGGGGTGAAGAAACACAGTCTCCAACCTGGGCTCTCTGGAGGACAAGAGTGCTGCACGTCCACTTCCATGAGGAATATAAGGATTTGGAGATACTTACCTTTGGGAAATACTCACCTTTGGATATATGCACCTGTGGAAATACGTGAGAGACATTTGGAAGGACTTTTTGCTGGGTTGGCCACTAGCTGCAACGTGGACTACAGTAAGGCTGGGGAAAAGTTATCTGAGCGAGTGAGAATTATGATTTTGGATGTGGAAGAGACATCCCTGAACTGTTAACCCTTAAAGAGCCACAAGAGAACAGAATTTTGTTATATTTTCGTTAATTTCCCAAGACCTATAATAAAATCCTTGTTTTGTTTGAACCTTGTCTCCTTGCACTACTTGAGCAATCCCGCTGAAAGCTGTGTAGCCTCTCGTGACGTCACAATATTGTATGACATCACATTTTCTGTACGTGTCTGCATGTACCAAGATGTTCAAATAAACCTAAACCTAAAGAAAGTAGCCTAAGACGTCCGCTTTGGTTCACATGAGGTTAAAAAAAAAGCTTTAAAAAAATATGCTTTGTAGAGACAGACTTTTTAATAAAGGGCACCTGAATGGCGGTCTCATAACTTCCGTCCCTCACTGGACTTGGCCCTGTGCCCAGAGTCTGGCTGCGGAACTCGGGGCCAACTAACCTGACGATGTCATCCACCCTGGGAAGGGAGGAGGAAAATAAAAGCTGGACAGGAGATCTTTCATGGGGCCCTGAAAGATGACAATTTAATTACGCATCTCTTTATTAATCTGTCCATCCACACCAACACTGCACAAGCAATTTTTTCTAAACGGCCACCTTCCACACGTTTTTCCAGATAACCCCCTTCCTACGAACACTTTACAACCCATTCAAAGCTTATCCCCACATAGTTATACTTAAAGCCTTTGCTTATACCCACAGTTTTACTTCAAAGTCAGTAACCCACTATTAGAGAGTTAGCCTACACAACACTCAACCACGCTTAAACATTGAATTTGTTTCCTTTTAAATTTGACAGAAAAATCACTTTGCTAACACATTACAGCACATTAATTATTCATAAGTAGTGGGTAGGCTTCTAATGAGTCCCCCCCCCCCATTTATAAATGATATATAATCATTATAATTTATACACATTTGATGGCTTAATATATATATATATATATATATATATATATATATATATATATATATAGTTTAGTGTAAACATTAATATACAGTGCCTTCAGAAAGTATTCACAACCCTCACAACACATTTTGTTTTGTTACAAAGTGGGATTAAAATTGATTTGTCATTTTTTGTCAACAATCTACACAAAATACTCTGTCCAAGTGGAACAAACATTCTAACATTTGTAAAAAATAAATAAAATAAAAAATAGGACACTAATATATCTTGATTAGATGAGTATTTCACCCCGAGTCAATACATGTCAGAATCACCTTTGGTAGCAATTACAGCTGTGAGTCTTTCTGGGTAAGTCTAAGAGCTTTCCACATCTTCAAGCTCTGTCAAATTGGTTGTTGATCATTGCTAGACAACCATTTTCAGGTCTTGCCATAGACCTTCAAGCAGATTTAAGTCAAAGCTGTAACTTAGCCACTCAGGAACAGTCACGGTCATCTTGGTAAGCGACTCCAGTGTAGATTTGGCTTTGTGTGTTAGGTTAATGTCCTGCTGAAAAGTGAATTCCTCTCCCAGTGTCTGGTGGAAAGCAGATAACCAGGTTTTCCTCTAGGATTCCGTTCAGTTCAGTTTTTTTTTATCCTGAAAAACTCCCCAGTCCATAACAATTACAAGCATATACATAACATGATGCAGCCAGCACTCTGCTTGAAAAAATGGAGAGTGGTACTCAGTAATTCAGTAATTATTGGATTTGCCCAAAACACAACACTTTCTATTCAGGACAAAGTTAATTGCTTTGCCACATTTTTTGCAGTATTACTTTAGTGCCGTGTTGCAAATAGGATGCATGTTTTGGATTTTTTTTATTCTGTACAGGCTTCCTCATTTTCACAGTAACTACAATGTTTTTGATCCATCCTCAGTTTTTTTTCCTATCACAGCCATTAAACTAACTGTTTTAAAGTCACCATTGGCCTCATGGTGAAATCCCTGAGCAGGAAGAGTTAGGAAGGACGCCTGTATCTTTGTAGTGACTGGGTGTATTGATACACCATCCAAAGTGTAATTAATAACTTCACCATGCTCAAAGGGATATTCAATTTCTGCTTTTTTTTACCCATCTACCAATAGGTGCTCTTCTTTGCGAGGCATTAAAAAACCTCCCTGGTCTTTGTGGTTGAATCTGTTTAAAATTCACTGCTCGACTGATAATTGTATGTGTGGGGTACAGAGATGAGGTAGTCATTCAAAAATCATGTTAAACACTATTATTGCCCACAGAGTGAGTCCTTGCAACTTATGTAACTTAAGCACATTTTTACTCCTAAACTTATTTAGGCTTGCCATAACAAAGGGGTTGAATACTTGACTCAACACATTTCAGCTTTTGATGAATTAATACAAAAATTATTCCACTTTTGTTGAGTGTAGGCCAGTGACAAAATAAATACTATTTTAATCAATTTTACATTCAGGCTGTAACAACAAAATGTGGAAAAAGGTCAAGGGGTGTGAATACTTTCTGAAGGCACTAACTGCAAGACAGAAACAAGTCAATAGACAATTCCATTGGTTACACCTTTTTATTGGAATTACCTTGACAGTCACAAAGTTACCAAATGGAGACCATTGAAACATTGAAGCGGAGGGGGCAAGCCCCCAGGACTCTCCCTCCCCATCTCTCACGGTGTGGCATGGTGACATAGTGGGCATTGACCAGAGAAAGAGACTAGGTCCCAAATGGCCTATTGCCTATATAGTGCAGTACTTTTGGCCAAGGCCCTTTAGAGTTTTGGGAATAGTGTGCCATTACAGAGAGCCAGAGCAATAGGGTTTTTCAGAAGTTAGCAGAACAAATTTTAGTGTTAATTAGTAGAACGTAGTGCCAGAGAAAAAGAGAATGTTGCAACTGCTCAGACAATCTGATAGCCTTTGTTTAATACACATAAGAGCCATGATTGAACTAGAAGAAATATGGGAGGAAGAGGAATGCTATCTCAAGCCGCACTCATCGGAAAGGTGGAATGTTTTAAAAATGTTCATTTGAAATGCAGGCAGTCCAAGTCTAGTAGGCTGAGAGGAGTTTAGCACTCAGTCTCGGTCCCAAATGACACCCTAAAAGTAACGTACTATATAGGGAGTAATTTGGGACGCAGCCCATCTCTCGCTCTCTGGTAACACACACCATTGTTCCATAAATACAAATCCCTTCATTACACTGATTTCAAATAGAAGTTGTAAACAACATTTTTGTATGGGGGGGGGGGGGGGGATCAGTGCACATGGAGTATAGGGGGTTATTGAAGCTTAAAAGGGATAGTTCACCCAAATTACAAATTGGTTTCCTTACCCTGTAAGTAGTCTTTGGACAAGGTATGAGAGCAAACCATACTTTGGTTTAGTCTCCCTGGCACCGTTTCCACCTGCTAACGTTTTAGCATTTGGGGCACAAATCCCATTTAAGTCATGGGACCGATATTAGCATTTTTTATTTTACATTTACATTTGAGTCATTTAGCAGACGCTCTTATCCAGAGCGACTTACAGTTAGTGAGTGCATACATTTTCATACTGGCCCCCCGTGGGAAACGAACCCACAACCCTGGCGTTGCAAGCGCCATGCTCTACCAACTGAGCTACAGGGGACTACATCATGTCCAAATGTATCTCAAATTGATTTGAACATGATTACATTTTACGTTTTAGTGATTTAGCAGACGCTCTTATCCAGAGCGACTTACAGTTAGTGAATGCATACATTTTTCATACTGATGCGCGACAAATGCCAATATCGGTCAAATGACTTGAATGAGATTTGTGCCACAAATGCTAAAACGTTACAATGTGATAACAGTGCAAGGGAAACTAAACCAAAGCATGTTGTTGTCATACCTTGTCCATAGACTGGCTTACAGGGTAAGGAAACCAATGTCATTGTAATTTGGGTGAACTAACTGGCCAAGAAATCCACCCATGCTAATGTAAAGCTTATGGGAGGGTCAGAATTCCAGTCAGGATCAGAACAAATGAATTTACAGCCAGAATTCCAGACTCCTAAAAGATGTTGAGCAGATCGTGGTCCTGGGGAAGAATAGCAACACACACACACACACACAGAGATCCGCTCAACTGAGTCTCCTACACAAACAGTAACAACTGGCTCTGCTCGATAGCACATTTTCACCCTTCATACAATATAGAAATGTGTTTAGATACATTTATATTCAGAGAGATGTATCCCGTTCTCAGTTTATTGTCGATTCATTTAGTTTGTTCCTAAAACCGACAATTTTGGTCACACAGAAGGAATCTCTGCAGCACGACAGGAACCACAGATAAAAAAAATCTTCATTATTATATCTGCGTCAACAGAGGAATCATGACACTAATAGCTATTGGAAATAGTAGAGGACTTGAGTGCAGGAAAAGACAGCGAGAGAGCGAGATGGAATGGGGGCCAGAGAGCTTTAGAGCAGCACAACAAAGCACTAAATACAAAAACATGACGATTCATGACTCATATACTCAGGGAAGGCGGGGTGTTATCAAATCAAAACGTATAAAATGGCATGACACTTAATGGATGCATCTACACTGCATACTGCTGCAAACTACTCACTAGGCTAAATATACAGATACAGGGACAGGGCTGGGGAGAGAGAGGTGGGACAGGAGAACCGGAGAGCAACACACACTACTACGCCAGCATCAAGAGAGGGAGGGTAGCAGTTACCCCTAAGCCAATGACACATGGTCAGATACTTTTTCTATCCTCCTAATACATTAGGATTGAGGGTATGGTGCGTAATCTGATCCTAGATCTGTGGTTAAGGGCAAGGGGGACAGTCGTCCACTAATTCAGTGCCATGAGGAATAGATGGGGTAGAGGAATAGTAGACTACTATGGTAATGTAACTTGTGGCTTTAATTTGACCAGAGCCCTATGTGGCTCTGCTCAGTAGGACTACATGAAGAAACTACATGTCATGGGGGTGGAATGTAGTTTTTGTTTAGATTAAAAGAGGGAAAAGACCCTTTAGATGCAGATGGTATTTTTTGTACTCCACAGGACGTTTGCATTATTTATACATACATGCGTTTAATCATTTCATAATTTTCAATACTTTTGAAAGCATGGTCCTGTTTGTTGTTTTGTTTTCATTTGTCAGCCCATTGGAAAAAAATACTGAAAAAACAGAAGCGATGGGAAGGTAGCGATTCCATGTTGTTGTCGTTCGCGCCCTCCCTTGTTCCAGCCTCCTCCCTGTTGCGCCCCTTTTTCCACCCGATCGCGAGGGGGCAGTTAGCAGCGCGTCTCGTAGATGCCGCTGCGACCGATGTAGCGCACCCATTTGATGACGTCGTGGTCACTGTAGTTCAGCTTGGGCTCGAACACCTTCAGGTAGCGCACCTTGAGCCCGGACGGAGCAAATGGCACCTGGGAGACCATAACAGAACCATAATAAGACCATAATGACACCTGGGAGAGAGTTCCGTATTTGACAGAACAGAAATGTTTGCACACCTGGGTCATTCAACCATAGGAGTTGGCTATAGAGCACAAACTGATCTTGAACCTGGCTACAGTAGAGATGACTGTGTCAAGGAAATAAAACCCCTAATCACCTCAAAGTTCATGGAGATGGGAGGGCGCGCCCACTTCTTCTTGTCGTTGGTGGGCAGCAGCTCAATCTCGGCACTGATCTGAGACTCCTTCATCCCTGCCATACGCTTGATCCTGCAGACACACACAGTTAACACCATTCCACAGCACAAACACAGGCGCACACACTAGGGATGGGCACGGTTAATCCAAACGGTCGTTAGTATTCGAACACTTGTATTCGAACACACTGAGTATATATATATACACACACATACATATACACACACATATACACCAGTGAAAAGTTTGGACACACCTACTCATTCAAGGGTTTTTCTTTATTTTTACTATTTTCTACATTGTAGAATAATAGTGAAGACATCAAAACTGTGAAATAACACATAAGGAATCATGTAGTAACCAAAAAAGTGTTAAACAAATCAAAATATATTTAATATTTGAGATTCTTCAAATAGCCCCCGTTGCCTTGATGACAGCTTTGCACGCTATTGGCATTCTCTCAACCAGCTTCATGAGGTAGTCACCTGGAATGCATTTCAATTAACAGGTTGCCTTCTTAAAAGTTAATTTGTGGAATTTCTTTCCTTCTTAATGCGTTTAGGCCAATCAGTTGTGTTGTGACAAGGTAGTGTCCAAACTTTTGACTGGTAGTCTATACCAGGCAAGACATTGTGTAAACAAACCCCGGCAAGACGTCACAATGTGCTCGAAGAGTTCTCAAGCATCGCTTCGATCAGTCAGTATGAGACAGCTGTGTTCTCATTTGCATGTTTTATTTTATTTATTTCACCTTTATTTAACCAGGTAAGGTATTTAATCATTTGCATGTAGGCTACACTACTGTATTATAAAAATTACAATTTACAAGTGGAGTCAGCTATGAACATTACAGCAGTAAAATATATAATTATAAACGTACATAGACAAGTTCAACAATATAGGCCGCCTACTGCGGTGCAACGGCAGTGCCGTTATCTACTTGATCTCTTGCATTGCAAACACTTGCCAGGAAAAGTCTATAGCAGGGTTGAATTATACATTTCACCATCAAAAAGGTTGCAATATTAAACTCAACATCCAAGAGAAAAACAATTAGCCAGCTAGCAACTCCAGCAAAGTTTGCAAGTAAGTGCATTAACGTTTATTTGGCTGTAGGCTAGTCACCCACCATTAGGCTATACACATTTGTAAGCAATGCGTGTGTGGATCTGTTTGCTAGCCAGATAAATTAGCTAACTAGCTTGCATCACATACCAGTAGCAGAGCTGGCTTTCGTGATTATTATCCATAGTGTCCAGCATGTGGACACTGGTCTTGCTCAGGAGTCTAAAATATGGTCCAACTAACAAGTGTTGCGCTAGGAAAATATTCTCAATCCTTTGCTGAATGAAAATCGCCCACAATTCAACTCTCATTTATAATGATTCTCATTTGTAATGAGAGGGATATAGCTAGATATTGACCTATGTATTGTTGACGTGTTGCTGTAGTCGTGGATGGATCAGAGGAACAGATAGAACGTGTGTGAGAGACATTATCAAAAGGCCTCTGCATCATAATTACCTGGAGAAATCTGACCTGCAATTTGTAAACAAAGTACTTATAATTCTGTATTTATACTTTTCTTAAATCTTCATTTTTGTCACTTTGAAGTGACCCAAATGGCAAATTAATCTTTCATCTATACATTGAGATATATTAAACCAGAAAAAAATGTATGTATTTGGGACGGAGTTTGGCTTTAATTAAATTGTCCATGTTACATTGTTACAAACAAGGATATACCATGACATTTGAAATGCTTAATTTAATAAAACATTATGTTATGGCGCATTGAGCTACTGCTGCTTCAGACATCACGTGGCTTTGACAGTATATTGTTTACAGTCCTGAGGACACACAAAGTGATCATTTTATTTTAAAGCAAATTCTCTCTCATGGGCTATGGGTTGCGTTTTACATGAAAAGGCATTTTACTATCATAACACATTTAGCCCTCCGGTCGGCCCTGACAACGGTATGCTATTTCCCCCACTACAAATAGTGATTAGCCTACAGGCACACACAAATGGACCTGACACAGATCAACGTAAAACACTCACCAGAAAACTTTCCTTGAAACAGAATCAGTTCTATGATAGCGAACATCAGACTTATATTTCACTGCTACTGTTAGCCAGCTATCCTGAAAACATTTGCACTGTCTGCTGTTGTGGTATTTTGTATCTTTCTGATTGGTCAACAGAATAGAGCTATTTGTATATTTTAAAATTTCGGATATAATTTTTTTTTCTTTGAATAGTGAAATAATTCCAAATCCCCCCCCCCCCCGAACACACACACACACACGTCTTAAATTCATTTTAGTTTAAAAATAGATACAATAATTTAATTCCACTCAATCTGGATCTCCTCAATTGAATTGCCATTTCTCTAAATCAAATGTCAAACGGGCCAATCATCTTCCTCTGAATCGTTGTGGGTGGGTATTATGTCTACGCTGTTATACTTGAGGCCATCGGCTAAGGTGAGGTCAACAGCGTGGCTAGCGAAGGACGATGTTGCTGCTGAGTTAGCATCCATTTAGGCCGAGATCGAAGCCCGGCTTAGTTGATAAAAACAAGAGTTTGCAGCTCTGACGGCCCTGGTTAGCAATCATCGATCCCTTGACTCTGTGCGTCGTGAAAAAAGTCCCCAATTAACGAGTGACGCAATTAGCAACTTTTTTCGGTCAGTAGTTTATAGATGACTGCGAAGCGTACACATTTCTCAGGCTGACGCATAACCTGGGTGGAGTTCATTAGGCACGAAACATAATTTTTTACTCAAACAGGGAGGGACTACTATTTTTCATGTTTTTTCCCCCGGTTGCGTAATGTTTTCCAATGTGTGCCCTATTAAACAGGGCCCTGGTACAGCTAACCTGAGAACGACAGTGAGGAAAACTTACTTCCAGACGATGGCGTTTTCGCTGGCCTTGTACTTGGCCTTGCCCTTCATGCAGATCACCTGGACCCCGCTGGTGTTGAGAGGGGTGGGGATGCGCACCTGGGTAGTAAAAACATGGGAAAAGACATTCAGTTCAGTGGATCCATTCCCCATCTACAAACACTCATTCATTAGTTTATGGGTAAGACCAAGGGTGCATCCGAAATGGCTATGTAGAGCACTACTACGAAAGTGTGTCATTTCAGGACTTTTACCTGACCATGATGACCACGACCTGACCATGATGACCACGACCTGACCATGATGACCACGACCTGACCATGATGACCACGACCTGACCATGATGACCACGACCTGACCATGATGACCACGACCTGACCAGGTACTGTGCCCAAGGCTCTATGGTATCCTTAAATCCCTCTGTTGCCATACCTCAATCTTCTGAGCCAGAAGCGAGGGCTTGAAGTTGGACTTAATGACCACCTTGACCTCAAGCTTGGTGCGGCCCACCTCCCTGACAAGGGGGATGACGCGGAAGGGTAGGATGATGTCCTTGGTGGTGCGGTACCTGAGGAGAAGAGGCGGCAAACACACACAAAACAGACAAATAAGGTCAGAGCCTGTGTGTGAATGTGTGTGTGTGTTTATGCGTGTCAGTATCACACAGGCTCGTTACCTCATGAGCTCACACTCTCCGTCCGGAGGAATGAAGCTGATGCTGCGCTCAGCGTCAAACTTGCTGAGACGCACACACTGGTGGAATGTACAGTCGTCAATGGCTATGGATTGCTTACCGCCACCACCGCCACTAAGAGAGAGAGATGAGAGAGAGGTGTTTAAAGGGGACAAGAGGGCCACACACACACACTGAAGGAGGGGAAACCTAGCCTAATCATAACACACAGACATTAAGACAGTACAAAATAGATGACAGTGAGATTAACGTCTAACAGAAATGTACGAAGAGTAAGCATTTCAATTTAGAGCTGATGCACACACTGAACTCCTTCATGCTCAAATCCACAAAAACACACAAAACAGTAGAGGCATGCAAGCCAGACACTACGACACTAATTGCCTGGTCAGTCTGTTGCGTTCAGAAGAATGCAACATTTGATTATGAACACTACGTCCAAATCTACTTGTCAGAAAATCAGACATACAACATTGCTCTGTACTGAACGCAACCCTGTGTAGACAAAACGATGGACAGACAAGACAGACGCACACAGAGGCAGATTGAGGCAGACTGAGGATGGAGAGAGCAGTCTGACCGTGTGAGTGATGTACGCTACCTGCCCCCCAAATCACTGAGGTCCAGCACAGAGAGGGAGAAAATTAAAAAAAAAAAAATCAAGGAGGGGAAGAAAAAAAACACACAGAGCTTGACACTTAAAATCTTAGCACTCTAAACATCATGCCACGAAAGAACTTCATAAAAAAGAAGGTGATGGAAAATTATGAACAAAGTAACAAGCCATGTGCATTCAGAAAGTATTCAGACCCCTTGATTTTTTCCACATTGTTACGTTACAGCCTTACTCTAAAATGGATTAAAGAAAAAATATTCCTCAATCTACACACAATACCCCATAATGACAAAGCGAAAACAGGTTGAGAAATGTTTGCACATTTATTGCAAATAAAAAACCGAAATACCTTATTTACATACAGTTGAAGTCGGAAGTTTACATACACTTAGGTTGGAGTCATTAAAACTTGTTTTTCAACCACTCCACACATTTCTTGTTAAACTATAGTTTTGGCAAGTCGGTTAGGACATCTAATTTGTGCATGACACAAGTAATTTTCCCAACAATTGTTTACAGACAGATTATTTCACTTATAATTCACTGAATCACAATTCCAGTGGGTCAGAAGTTTACATACACTAAGTTGACTGTGCCTTTAAACAGCTTGGAAAATTCCAGAAAATAATGTCATGGCTTTAAAAGCTTCTGATAGGCTAATTGACATCATTTGAGTCAATTGGAGGTGTACCTGTGGATGTATTTCAAGGCCTACCTTCAAACTCAGTGCCTCTTTGCTTGACATCATGGGAAAATCAAAACAAATCAGCCAAAGAATTGTAGACCTCCACAAGTCTGGTTCATCCTTGGGAGCATTTTCCAAACGCCTGAAGGTACCACGTTAATCTGTACAAACAATAGTACGCAAGTATAAACACCATAGGCCAACGCAGCAGTCATACCGCTCAGGAAAGAGACGCGTTCTGTCTCCTAGAGATGAACATACTTGCACAAAAAGTGCAAATAAATCCCACAACAACAGCAAAGGACCTTGTGAAGATGCTGGAGGAAACAGGTACAAAAGTATCTATATCCACAGTCAAACGAGTCCTATATCGACATAAACTGAAAGGCCGCTCAGCAAGGAAGAAGCCATTGTTCCAAAACAGCCATTAAAAAAGCCAGACTACGGTTTGCAACTGCACATGGGGACAAAGATCTTACTTTTTGGAGAAATGTCCTCTGGTCTGATGAAACAAAAATAGAACTGTTTGGCCATAATGACCATCGTTATGTTTGGAGGAAAAAGGGGGTCGCTTGCATGCTGATGAACACCATCCCAACCGTGAAGCACGGGGGTGGCAGCATCATACATTTACATTTACGTCATTTAGCAGACGCTCTTATCCAGAGCGACTTACAGGAGCAATTAGGGTTAAGTGCCTTGCTTAAGGGCACATCGACAGATTTTTCACCTAGTCGGCTCGGGGATTAGAACCAGCGACCTTTCGGTTACTGGCACAACGCTCTTACCCACTAAGCTACCTGCCGCCCCATGCTGTGGGGGTGCTTTGCTGCAGGAGGGACTGGTGCACTTCACAAAATAGATGGCATCATGAGGAAGGAAAATTATGTGGATATATTGAAGCGACATCTCAAGACATCATTCAGGAAGTTAAAGCTTGGTCGCAAATGGGTCTCCCAAATGGACAATGACCACAAGCATACTTCCAAAGTTGTGGCAAAATGGCTTAAGGACAACAAAGTCAAGGTATTGGAGTGGCCATCACAAAGCCCTGACCTCAATCCTATAGAAAATGTGTGGGCAGAACTGAAAAAGCGTGTGCGAGCAAGGAGGCCTACAAACCTGACTCAGTTACACCAGTTCTGTCAGGAGGAATGGGCCAAAATTCACCCAACTTATTGTGCGAAGCTTGTGGAAGGCTACCCAAAATGTTTGACCCAAGTTAAACAATTTAAAGGCAATGCTACCAAATACTATTTGATTGTATGTAAACTTCTGACCCACTGGGAATGTGATGAAATAAATAAAAGCTGAAATAAATCACTCTACTATTATTCTGACATTTCACATTCTTAAAATAAAGTGGTGATCCTAACTGACCTAAAACAGGGAATTTTTACTAGGATTAAATGTCAGGAATTGTGAAAAACTGAGTTTAAATATATGTGGCTAAGGTGTATGTAAACTTCCGACTTCAACTGTAAGTATTCAGACCCTTTGCTACGAGACTCGAAATTGAGCTCAGGTGCATCCTGTATCCATTGATCATCCTTGAGATGTTTCTTCAGATCTGGGGAAGGGTACCAAAACATTTCTGCAGCATTGAAGGTCCTCCATCATTCTTAAATGGAAGAAGTTTGGAACCACAAAGACTGTTCCTAGAGCTGGCTGCCCAGCCAAACTGAGCAATCAAGGGCCTTGGTCATGGGAGAACCTTCCAGAAGAACAACCATCTCTGCAGCACTACACCAATCAGACCTTTATGGTAGAGTGATCAGACGGAAGCCACTCAGTAAAAAGGCACATGACAGCCCGCTTGGAGATTGCCAAAAGGCACCTAAAGGACTCTCAGACCACGTGAAACAAGATTCTCTGGTCTGATGAAACCAAGATTGATCTCTTTGGCCTGAATGCCAAGTGTCATGTCTGGACGAAACCTGGCACCATCCTGTGTGGATGTTTTTTAGCTGCAGGTACTGGGAGACTATTCAAGATCAAGGGAAGGATGAACAGAGAAAAGGAGCAAAGTACAGAGAGATCCTTGATGAAAATATGTATTATTTCATAGTTTGAATGTCGTCACTATTATTCTACAATGTAAAAACTGGTAAAAATAAAGAAAAACCCTTGAATGAGTAGGTGTCCAAACTTTTGACTGGTAGTGTATATTCTAATCTACTTCTATATCTATATTTCTAGCCTCACATCTAAGACTACTTGGGCCACTGTTTTACCAGTTAACTGAGAACACATTCTCATTTACAGCAACGACCTGGGGAAGAGTTACAGGGGGAGGAGGGGGGATGAATGAGCCAATTGGAAACTGGGGATGATTAGGTGGCAATGATGGTATGAGGGCCAGATTGGGAATTTAGCCAGGACACCGGGGTTAACACCCCTACTCTTACGATAAGTGCCATGGGATCTTTAGCGACCACAGAGAGCCAGGACACCCGTTTAACGTCCCATCTGAAAGACGGCACTCTACACAGGGCAATGTCCCCAATCACTGCCCTGGGGCATTGGGCAATACACTACCGGTCAAAAGTTTTAGAACACCTACTCATTCAAGGGTTTTTCTTTATTTTTTACTATTTTCAAATAGTAAAAATAAAGAAAAACCCTGGAATGAGTAGGTGTGTCCAAACTGGTCCTGTATACTACTGGCCCTTAAACACCACTTCCAGCAGCATCTGGTCTCCCATCCAGGGACCAACCCTGCTTAGCTTCAGAGGCTGCTGGCAAATCAATCAAATATAAACAGTTCAAATCTAAATGTCTAAAGCCGGCCACACCCGTTGCCCACTCACCTCTTGCCCGCCGCCTCATCTGTGGCGCCCCCCTTGCCCTGTTTGTCGATGACGATCTTGTCGTTCATGCCAAATTTGCACTCTGGCATGCCGCTCAGGTAGCTCTTCATCACCACGCGGCCCGAGACGTGGGCGCTCAGCACCTGACCTGGTTGGAGAGAGGGAGAGGTTACCAGGTAGCTCTTCATCACCACGTGGCCGGAGACATGGGCACTCAGCACCTGGCCTGATTCGAGAGAGGGAGAGGTTACACCAGGTAGCTCTTCATCACCACGCGGCCCGAGACGTGGGCACTCAGCACGTGACCTGGTTGGAGAGAGGGAGAGGTTACCAGGTAGCTCTTCATGACCACGCGGCCCAAGATGTGGGCGCTCAGCACCTGACCTGATTGGAGCAGAGGGAGAGGTTAACACGGAGCAACACAGAAGGCAGGTAACCAGTTCATTATGAGGTAGTGATACACTTATGTAAGGTTATAGAAGAGAAGCCTTCTCACACATTAAAAACAGGCAGGTGGCAGCCTCTAGTGGCCACACCGGCACTATACCACACTGCTAAATATGCATACATTGTCATATATACACTGCTCAAAAAAATAAAGGGAACACTTAAACACAATGTAACTCCAAGTCAATCACACTTCTGTGAAATCAAACTGTCCACTTAGGAAGCAACACTGATTGACAATACATTTCACATGCTGTTGTGCAAATGGAATAGACAACAGGTGGAAGTTATAGGCAATTAGCAAGACACCCCCAATAAAGGAGTGGTTCTGCAGGTGGTGACCACAGACCACTTCTCAGTTCCTATGCTTCCTGGCTGATGTTTTGGTCACTTTTGAATGCTGGCGGTGCTTTCACTCTAGTGGTAGCATGAGACGGAGTCTACAACCCACACAAGTGGCTCAGGTAGTGCAGCTCATCCAGGATGGCACATCAATGCGAGCTGTGGCAAGAAGGTTTGCTGTGTCTGTCAGCGTAGTGTCCAGAGCATGGAGGCGCTACCAGGAGACAGGCCAGTACATCAGGAGACGTGGAGGAGGCCGTAGGAGGGCAACTACCCAGCAGCAGGACTGCTACCTCCACCTTTGTGCAAGGAGGAGCAGGAGGAGCACTGCCAGAGCCCTGCAAAATGACCTCCAGCAGGCCACAAATGTGCATGTGTCTGCTCAAACGGTCAGAAACAGACTCCATGAGGGTGGTATGAGGGCCCGACGTCCACAGGTGGGGGTTGTGCTTACAGCCCAACACCGTGCAGGACGTTTGGCATTTGAGAAGAACACCAAGATTGGCAAATTCGCCACTGGCGCCCTGTGCTCTTCACAGATGAGAGCAGGTTCACACTGAGCACGTGACAGACGTGACAGAGTCTGGAGATGCCGTGGAGAACGTTCTGCTGCCTGCAACATCCTCCAGCATGACCGGTTTGGCGGTGGGTCAGTCATGGTGTGGGGTGGCATTTCTTTGGGGGGCCGCACAGCCCTCCATGTGCTCGCCAGAGGTAGTCTGACTGCCATTAGGTACCGAGATGAGATCCTCAGACCCTTTGTGAGACCATATGCTGGTGCGGTTGGCCCTGGGTTCCTCCTAATGCAAGACAATGCTAGACCTCATGTGGCTGGAGTGTATCAGCGGTTCCTGCAAGAGGAAGGCATTGATGCTATGGACTGGCCCGCCCGTTCCCCAGACCTGAATCCAATTGAGCACATCTGGGACATCATGTCTCGCTCCATCCACCAACGCCACGTTGCACCACAGACTGTCCAGGAGTTGGCGGATGCTTTAGTCTAGGTCTGGGAGGAGATCCCTCATGAGACCATCCGCCACCTCATCAGGAGCATGCCCAGGCGTTGTAGGGAGGTCATACAGGCACGTGGAGGCCACACACACTACTGAGCCTCATTTTGACTTGTTTTAAGGACATTACATCAAAGTTGGATCAGCCTGTAGTGTGGTTTTCCACTTACATTTTGAGGGTGACTCCAAATCCAGGCCTCCATGGGTTGATACATTTGATTTCCATTGATAATTTTTGTGTGATTTTGTTGTCAGCACATTCAACTATGTAATGAAAAAAGTATTTAATAAGATTATTTCATTCATTCAGATCTAGGATGTGTTATTTTAGTGTTCCCTTAATTTTTTTGAGCAGTGTATATACAGTTGCGGCCAAATATATTGGCACCCTTGCCCTTTTCTTAAATAATTTGTGACATCATGAAATCAGCAGATTATCAAGGTGTTTTGGAGTCCAATGTTCAACCCAGTGTCCAAAAACTGGGTCTCCATTGAAGGTTGTGGGTCTTCCAGCAGGACACACATCAAAAAGCACCCAGGAATGGTTCAAGAAGAAACGCTGGACTATTCTGGAGTGACCAGCGAAGAGTCCAAATCACATCCAAAACCTATGGTGAGATCTGAAAACAGCAGCTGGTGGAGGGCACCTCTCAAAAATGAATTAGAGCAGTTTGCAGCTGCCAAATTGCTAGTAGAAAGGTGCAGCAAGCTCATTGAAGCGTTTGTCTGCAGTAATCTTGGCCAAAGGCTGTGCAACCAAGTACTAGTTCCAGGGTACCAATAATTTTGTCCATGCCATTTGTCATTATTTTCTAAATTAAAATTGTAAACTTAAGTTCACAAACATAAAAATTGTTCTGCAATGATGAAAATCCAATAACATGGTGTGGAGACAGTGTTTTTCAATTTTAACTTATTTGAAATATTTACGAAAAGTGCAAGGGTGCCAATATATTATATACAACTGTAAAGCCCTAGTAGCCTAGCCTTTGTAATGTGAGGTCATGATAGATCATTGGATCACTGACCTTGTCTAGTCTATGTGATTGTATATATACAGTGAGCTCCAAAAGTATTGGGACAGTGACACATATTTTGTTGTTTTGGCTCTGTACTCCAGCACTTTGAATTTGAAACGATACAATGACTATGAGCTTAACGTGCAGACTGTCATTTTCATCCATATCGGGTGAACAGTTTAGAAATTACAGCACTTTTTTGCACATAGTCCCCCCATTTTAGGGGACCGAAAGTATTGGGACAAATTCACTTACAGTGAGGGAAAAAAGTATTTGATCCCCTGCTGATTTTGTACGTTTGCCAACTGACAAAGACATGATCAGTCTATAATTTTAATGGTAGGGTTATTTGAACAGTGAGAGACAGAATAACAACAAAATAATCCAGACAAATGCATGTCAAAAATTTTATAAATTGATTTGCATTTTAATGAGGGAAATAAGTATTTGAACCCTCTGCAAAACATGACTTAGTACTTGGTGGCAAAACCCTTGTTGGCAATCACAGGAGGTCAGACGTTTCTTGTAGTTGGCTACCAGGTTTGCACACATCTCAGGAGGGATTTTGTCCCACTCCTCTTTGCAGATCTTCTCCAAGTCATTAAGGTTTCGAGGCTGACGTTTGGCAACTCGAACCTTCAGCTCCCGACAGATTTTCTATGGGATTAAGGTCTGGAGACTGGCTAGGCCACTCCAGGACCTAAATGTGCGTCTTCTTGAGCCTCTCCTTTGTTGCCTTGGTTTTAGGTCATTGTCATGCTGGAATACCCATCCACGACCCATTTTCAATGCCCTGGCTGAGGGAAGGAGGTTCTCACCCAAGATTTGACGGTACATGGCCCTGTCCATCGTCCCTTTGATGCGGTGAAGTTGTCCTGTCCCCTTAACAGAAAAACACCCCCAAAGCATAATGTTTCCACCTCCATGTTTGACGGTGGGGATGGTGTTCTTGGGGTCATAGGCAGCATTCCTCCTCCTCCAAACACGGCGAGTTGAGTTGATGGCAAAGAGCTCGATTTTGGTCTCATCTGACCACAACACTTTCATCCAGTTCTCCTCTGAATCATTCAGATGTTCATTGGCAAACTTCAGACGGGCCTGTATATGTGCTTTCTTGAGCAGGGGGACCTTGCGGGCACTGCAGGATTTCAGTCCTTCACGGCGTAGTGTGTAACCAATTGTTTTCTTGGTGACTATGGAGCCAGCTGCCTTGAGATCATTGACAAGATCCTCCCGTGTAGTTCTGGGCTGATTCCTCACCGTTCTCATGATCATTGCAACTCCACGAGGTGAGATCTTGCATGGAGCCCCAGGCCGAGGGAGATTGACAGTTCTTTTGTGTTTTTTCCATTTGCGAATAATCGCACCAACTGTTGTCACCTTCTCACCAAGCTGCTTGGCGATGGTCTTGTAGCCCATTCCAGCCTTGTGTAGGTCTACAATCTTGTCCCTGACATCCTTGGAGAGCTCTTTGGTCTTGGCCATGGTGGAGAGTTTGGAATCTGATTGATTGATTGCTTCTGTGGACAGGTGTCTTTTATACAGGTAACAAACTGAGATTAGGAGCACTCCCTTTAAGAGTGTGCTCCTAATCTCAGCTTGTTACCTGTATAAAAAGACACCTGGGAGCCAGAAATCTTTCTGATTGAGAGGGGGTCAAATAGTTATTTCCCTCATTAAAATGCAAATCAATTTATAAAATTTTTGACATGCGTTTTTCTGGATTCTGTTGTTGTTATTCTGTCTCTCACTACAAACTTCTTAGATGCATTTGCTGTTTGTTTTGGTTGCGTTTCATATTATTTTGTGCCCAATACAAATGAACGGTAAATAATTGAATGTCATTTCAGAGTCACTTTTATTGTAAGAAATCAAATCAAATTGTATTTTTGCCACATGCGCCAAATACAACAGGTGTAGACATTAGTGAAATGCTTACTTACAAGCCCTTTAAAAAAAACACAAAAAATACAAAATAAACTGCATTGTCGGTTAAGAAAATAAAAAAAGTGTTAAGTAAAAAAATAGCTAAGTAAAAAATAAAAGGAAATATCTAAATAGCAGCAGTAAAATAAAATAACAGTAGGGAGACTATATACAGGGGGGTAGCGGTACAGAGAAAATGTGCGGGGGCACCGGCTAGTCGAGGTAATATGTACATGTGGGTAGAGTTAAAGTGACTATGTATAAATAAACAGAGTAGCAGCAGTGTAAAAGAAGGGGATGGGGTGGGGTGGGGGGGGCAGTGCAAATAGTCAGAGTAGCCATGATTAGCTGTTCAGGAGCCTTATGGCTTGGGTGTAGAAGCTGTTAAGAAGCCTTTTGTACCTAGACTTGGCGCTCCAGTACTGCTTGCCGTGCGGTAGCAGAGAGAACAGTCTATCACTAGGGTGGCTGGAGTCTTTGACAATTTTTAGGGCCTTCCTCTGACACCTCCTGGTATAGACGCCCTGGATGGCAGGAAGCTTGGCCCCAGTGATGTACTGGGCCGTACGCACTACCCTCTGTAGTGCCTTGCGGTCGGAGGCAGAGCAGTTGCCATACCAGGCGGTGATGCAACCAGTCAGGATGCTCTCGATGGTGCAGCTGTATAACTTTCTGAGGATCTGAGGACCCATGCCAATTTTTTTCAGTCTCCCGAGGGGGAATAGGCTTTGTCGTGCCCTCTTCACGACTGTCTTGTTGTGTTTGACCATGATAGTTCGTTGGTGATGTGGACACCAAGGAACTTGAAGCTCTCAACCTGTTCTACTACAGCCTCGTCGATGAGAATGGGGGCGTGCTCAGTCCTCTTTTTTTTCCTGTAGTCCACAATCATCTCCTTTGTCTTGATCACGTTGAGGGAGAGGTTGTTATCCTGGCACCACACAGCCAGGTCTCTGACCTCCTCCCTATAGGCTTGCATCGTTTTCGGTGATCAGGCCTACCACTGTTGTGTCGTCAGCAAACGTAATGATGGTGTTGGAGTCGTGCCTGGCCATGCAGTCAAGGGTGAACAGGGAGTACAGGAGGGGACTGAGCACGCACCCCTGAGGGGACCCTGTGTTGAGGATCAGCATGGCAGATGTGTTGTGACCTACCCTTACCACCTGGGGGCGGCCCGTCAGGAAGTCCAGGATCCAGTTGCAGAGGGAGGTGTTTAGTCCCAGGGTCCTTAGCTTAGTGATGAGCTTTGAGGGCACTATGGTGTTGAACGCTTAGCTGTAGTCAATGAATAGCATTCTCACGTAGGTGTTCCTCTTGTCCAGGTGAGAAAGGCAGTGTGGAGTGCAATAGAGATGGCATCATCTGTGGATCTGTTGGGGCGGTATGCAAATTGGAGTGGGTCTAGGGTTTCTGGGATAATGGTGATGTGAGCCATGACCAGCCTTTCAAAGCACTTCATGGCTACAGATGTGAGTGCTACAGGTCGGTAGTCATTTAGGCAGGTTATCTTAGTGTCCTTGGGCACAGGGACTATGGTGGTCTGCTTGAAACATGTTGGTATTACAGACTCAGTCAGGGACATGTTGAAAATGTCAGTGAAGACACTTGCCAGTTGGTCAGCGCATGCTCGTAGTACACATCCTAGCAATCCGTCTGGCCCTGCGGCCTTGTGAATGTTAACCTGCTTAAAAGTCTTACTCACATTGGCTACGGTGAGTGTGATCACAGTCATCCGGAACAGCTGATGCTCTCATGCTTGCTTCAGTGTTGCTTGCCTCGAAGCGAGCATAGAAGTGATTAAGCTCGTCTGGTAGGCTTGTGTCACTGGGCAACTCGCGGCTGTGCTTCCCTTTGTAGTCTAATAGTTTTCAAGCCCTGCCACATCCGACGAGCATCAGAGCCCGTGTAGTACGATTCAATCTTAGTCCTGTATTGACTCTTTGCCTGTTTGATGGTTCGTTGGAGGGCATAGTGGGATTTCTTATAAGCGTCCGTGTTAGAGTCCCGCTCCTTGAAAGCGGCAGCGCTACCCTTTAGCTCAGTGCGGATGTTGTCTGTAATCCATGGCTTCTGGTTGGGGTATGTACGTACGGTCACTGTGGGGACAACGTCATCAATGCACTTATTGATGAAGCCAGTGACTGATGTGGTGTACTCCTCAATGCTATCTGATGAATCCCGGAACATATTCCAGTCTGTGCTAGCAAAACAGTGCTGTAGCTTAGCATCTGCGTCATCTGACCACTTTTTTTATTAACCGAGTCACTGGTGCTTCCTGCTTTAGTTTTTGCTTATAAGCAGGAATCAGGAGGATATAATTATGGTCAGATTTGCCAAATGGAGGGCGAGGGAGAGCTTTGTACGCATCTCTGTGTGTGGAGTAAAGGTGGTCTAGAGTTTTTTTTCTTCTGGTTGCACATTTAACATGCTGGTAGAAATGAGGTACAACGGATTAAAGTCCCCGGCCACTAGGAGCGCTGCCTCTGGATGAGCGTTTTCCTGTTTACTTATGGCCTTATACAGCTCATTGAATGCAATCTTAGTGCCAGCATCGGTTTGTGGTGGTAAATAGACAGCTACGAAAAATATAGATGAAAACTCTCTTGGTAAATAGTGTGGTCTACAGCTTATCATGAGATACTCTACCTCCGGCGAGCAAAACCTCAAGACTTCCTTAGTATTAGATTTTATGCACCAGCTGTTGTTTACAAATATAGACCGCCACCCCTTGTCTTACCAGAGTCAGCCGTTCTATCCTGCCGATGTAGCGTATATCCCATCAGCTGTATGTTGTCCATGTCGTCGTTCAGCCACGACTCGGTGAAACATAAGATATTACAGTTTTTAATGTCCCGTTGGTAGGATAACCTTAATCTTATGTCGTCCAATTTGTTTTCAAATGATTGAACATTGGCTAATAGGATTGATGGAAGAGGCAGTTTACTCGCTAGCCATCGGATCCTTACAAGGCACCCCGACCTACGTCCACGATATCTCTGTCTCTTTCTCATGCGAATGACGGGGATTTGGGCCTTGTCGGGTGTCTGTAGAATATCCTTTGCGTTCGACTCGTTGAAGAAAAAATCTTTGTCCAATACGAGGTGAGTAATCGCTGTCCTGATATCCAGAAGCTCTTTTTGGTCATAAGAGACGGTGGCAGAAACATTATGTACAGAATAAATAACAAAACGCGAAAAAACACACATAATAGTACAATTGGTTAGAGGGCTATAAAATACGTTTCTAAACACTTCTACATTAATGTGGATGCTACCATGATTACGGATAGTGAATAATGATGAGTGAGACGCACAAATATCATACCCCCCCAAAAAATGCAAACCTGTTCTGTTATTGTAATGGTGAGAGGTTAGCATGTCTTGGGGGTAAGATATTTGTAAGTCTAACTTTCTCACTCATTAATATTCACGATTAATTCAGGACTATCAGTAATCATAGTAGCATCTACATTAACGTAGAAGTGTTTAGAAACATATTCTAATTTACAATAATTATTTATCATTCATTTCTATTGGGCAAAAAATTATCTGAAACAACCAAAAGAAACAGCAAAAGCATCCAACAAGTTTGTAGAGTTACAAGCTTGATGTATTCATTGCGTGCTAGGAATATAGGCCAAGTACTAAACTTGACTACTTTAATAAACATAAGTGAATTTGTCCAAATACTTTTGGTCCCCTAAAAAAAGTGCTGTAATTTAGACAGGCCCCGTGTAGCTCAGTTGGTAGAGCATGGCGCTTGCAACGCCAGGGTTGTGGGTTCGATTCCCATGGGGGGCCAGTATGAAAAAAATAAATGTATGCACTAACTGTAAAGTCGCTCTGGATAGGAGCGTCTGCTAAATGACTAAAATGTAAATGTAATTTAAACGGTTCACCCGATATGGATGAAAATACCCTCCAATTAAAGCTGACAGTCTGCAATTCAACCAATCTGTCATTATACCATTTCATATCCAAAGTGCTGGCGTACAGAGCCAGAACAAAAAAAAGTGCATCACTGTCACAATTCTTTTGGAGCTCAATGTATTGTATGTATTTTCCAATTGTAACGAATGTGAAGTGCCTTAGAAGTGCCCAATGCACAGCCAGTCTTGCCCAATGCAAAGCCAGTCTTGCCCAAACTGTCTTGCTGCCCACATGATAACGAGGGCCACAATGGAAATAAGTTGGTAGACTTCATTGTTTTTAAATTCTCTATCATTCTTATGTAAGTATTGTTGTCCTCACATGAATTAGTGACCTTTATATGAATTTTAAACATGTCCAATAAAATGTATTAATTCAAGCAAGGCCCAAGACCCGAGTCCAGTGTACGTTTGTCTCTGTTGATTTGTTTCAGTACAGCAGTGTTACAAAGTCCTTGTTGCAAAACACACACTTCACACATCGGTATTACCTTGTGGAGACATCAGCAGGTTGACACTCTCCAGCACGTCCAGGAAAAGCTCGTTGCGACGGTACTTGATGCCCTCGCGACGCCAGCCGATCTGCCCAGTCACCTGACTGGTGATCTGAGACTGCTCCTCCTTGGACTGGTGGACAGAGAGAGGGGGAAAATGAGGGATGGACAGAAAGAGGGGAGCGAGGAAAAGGACAGGGAGGAAGAAGGATGGACAGAGATCGGGGAGAGACAGAGGAACGAACAGTAGGAGAAGAGCGAAAACGAGAATGTCAGATTGATATGTCTGAAACACTTTTCACCTGGATAATTCCAACGACAACTCAATATGTCAAGTTGGACTCAGCAATATGTTGCTGATATATCCGTAAGGAGACAGTCACCCCGCTGTGCAAGATGTAAAGCAGCCTTTAAACAAACAATCAAAAAGGGAGAGTACTCACATGGTGCTGGAGAATGAAATGACCAAGGGATAAACGGCAGCCACGGAGCACAAAGACACAGAGAAAGGAGAGAGACAGAGACAGAGAGCGAGACACAGAGAGAGGAGAGAGAGACACAGAGAGAGGAGAGAGAGACACAGAGAGAGGAGAGAGAGACACAGAGAGAGGAGAGAGAGAGACACAGAGAGAGGAGAGAGAGACAGCGAGCGAGACACAGAGGAGAGAGAGACACAGCGCGAGACACCGAGACAGAGAGAGAGAGACACACAGAGAGAGGAGAGAGAGAGACACAGAGAGAGGAGAGAGAGACAGCGAGCGAGACACAGACAGAGGAGAGAGCGAGACACAGAGAGAGGAGAGAGCGAGACACACAGACAGAGCGAGCGAGCGAGAGAAAAAAGACATTACACAAGTCTACATCGAATTCATCACTATCATCAGCTCTAACTGGAGCAATCCCTCATGCCCAACATCAACAGCTGAAAAGGTATACTACTGTGTGACTACCACGCAGTCCAAACTGGATATGAGAGATATCTTAAAATAATTGTCATGGTGCCCACCTGGCTCTTGATGCCCGTTTGAGTGATGAAGGTCTTCAGTGCGCCAGTCTCCGAGTTCTGGGGGTAGCCAAAGTCCAGGATCTCTACAAGAGGCAAGGTGACCGTGAGACCACACACTTCTGCTATGAGCTCACCAGCTGGGCTCACAAAGAAACACCATCTTATTTTATGTAACCATTACTTGACCAGGTAAATTCAGAGACCGTATTGAACATGAGCGACGATCTGGGAAATGGTTGCAGGGGAGGAGAGGGGTTGATTCGAACAGTTACCCTCTTTTAGTCTCAAACACAGTCGTCTTCCCCAAACATCATAGGTCAGAAGAAAGTTGTACTTGTATGTTTTTAAAACATTTCCACTGCTGCATTTTCTGTATATTCCTATTCACCTAAAAGAAAACCAATATGTGGCCTGGCTGGTCTAGGGATAATGCCTACTGTGCCTGCAGGTCATTAACCTACTGCCTTAGACACAACCTCTCCACCTTTCACCACTATCATCCTATCTCACTATCTCTTCCAAAAAAAAACGTTTTAAAGATAGAAAAGCAATCATAATAATATCACCAATATCTTGAGTCGATATTAGCAAGTCTGCAATGTCTGTCACCGTCACACAGCACACCTAGACATCTGCCGGCGCTATATTTTCTTTAGGTTTAGATTTTCTTGCTTAAAACTCACAAAAATCTAAACCGAAAAAAACAACAGCACAGCAGAAAGGCTGACCGCGGCACGAGAGAACCACTTCAGGATGTGGCATGACGGTTGTGTGGAATACCTATAAAGTTTGTTAGGTTGTTGTAAACCGAGGGGGGAAATAATATGCTGCAATTGAGCACACACACACTAGGGATGGGCACAGTTATTCAAATATCCGAACAGATTTTAGTATTCGATTACTTGTGAGAGTATATTTGTTTTTTATCAATGAAAAGACTATCTACAGTGCTATGAAAAAGTATTTGCCCCCTTTCTAATTTTCTCTACTTTTGCATATTTGTTATACTGAATGTTATCAGATCTTCAACCAAAACCTAATATTAGATAAAGGGAACATAAGTGAACAAATAACACAATTACATATTTATTTCATAAACAAAGTTATGTATCACCCAATTCCCCTGTGTGAAAAAGTAATTGCCCCCTTACACTCAATAACTGGTTGTGCCACCTTTAGCTGCAATGACTCCAACCAAGGTCTGGACTTTGACTAGGCCATTCCAAAACTTCCAATGTGTTGCTTTTGAGCTATTTTCATGTAGACTTGATTGTGTGTTTTGGATCATTGTCTTGCTGCATGACCCAGCTGCGCTTCAGCTCACAGACGGATGGTCTGACAATCTCCTGTAGAATTTTCTGATACAGAGCAGAATTCATGGTTCCTTCTATTAAGGCAAGTCGTCCAGGTCCTGAAACAGCAAAGCAGCCCCAAACCACACCACCACCACCATGCTTGACCTTTGGTATGATGTTCTTACTGTGGAATGCTGTGTTTGTTTTTTTCCACATTTTGTTACGTTACAGCCTTATTCTAAAATGTTCTTCAATCCACAAACAATGTCCCATAATGACGGAGCAAAAAGAGGTTTAGAAATTTTTGCAAATGTATTACAAATAAAAAACGGAAATATCACATTTACATAAGAATTCAGACCCTATACTCAGTACTTTGTTGAAGCACCTTTAGCAGCGATTACAGCATCGAGTCTTCAAGCTTGGCACACCTGTATTTGGGGAGTTTCTCCAATTCTTCCCTGCAGCTCCTCTCAAGCTCTGTCAGGTTGGATGGGAAGCGTTGCTGCACAGCTATTTTCAGGTCTCGCCAGAGATGCTCGATCGGGTTCAAGTCCGGGCTCTGGCTGGGCCACTCAAGGACATTCAAAGACTTGTCCCGAAGCCACTCCTGCGTTGTCTTGGCTGTGTGCTACGGGTCGTTGTCCTGTTGGAAGGTGAACCTTCACCCCAGCCTGAGGTCCTGAGCGCTCTGGAGCAGGTTTTCATCAAGGATCTCTCTGTACTTTGCTCCGTTCATCTTTGCCTCGATCCTGACTAGTCTCCCAGTCCCTGCTGCTGAAAAACATCCCCACAGCATGACGCTGCCACCACCATGCTTCACCGTAGAGATGGTGCCAGGTTTCCTCCAGACTTGATGCTTGGCTTTCAGGCCAAATAGTTCAATCTTGATTTCATCAGACCAGAGAATCTTGTTTCTGAGTCCTTTAGGTGCCTTTTAGCAAACTCCAAGCGGGCTGTCATGTGCCTTTTACTGAGGAGTGGCTTCCGTCTAGCCACTCTACCATAAAGGCCTGATTGGTGAAGTCCTGCAGAGATGGTTGTCCTTCTGGAAGGTTTTCCCATCTCCACAGAGGAACTCAGTCAGAGTGACCATCGGGTTCTTGGTCACCTCCCTGACCAAGGCCCTTCTCCCCCGATTGCACAGTTTGGCTGGGAGGCCAGCTCTAGGAAGAGCCTTGGTGGTTCCAAACTTCTTCCATTTAAGAATGATGGAGGCCACTGTGTTTTTGGGGACCTTCAATGCTGCAGAACTGTTTTGGTACCCTTCCCCAGATATGTGCCTCGACACAATCCTGTTTCGGAGCACTAACGACAATTCCTTCGACCTCATGGCTTGGTTTTTGCTCTTACATGCACTGTCAACTGTGGGACCTTATATAGACAAGTGTGTGCCTTTTCAAGTCATGTCCAATCAATTGAATTTACCACAGGTGGACTCCAATCAAGTTGTAGAAACATCTCAAGGATGATCAATGGAAACAGGATGCACCTGAGCTCAATTTTGAGTCTCATAGCAAAGGGTCTGAATACCTATGTAAATAAGGTATTTCTGTTTATTATTTTTAATACATTTGCAAAAATGTCAAAAAAAAATATTTTGCTTCGTCATTATGGGGTATTGTGTGTAGATTGCTGAGGATTTTTATTTATTTAATCAACTTTAAAATAAGGCTGTAACGTAACAAAATGTGGAAAAAGTCAAGGGGTCTGAATACTTTCCGAAGGCACTGTATCTACAGAAATATGACAGATCCTGCTTCTGTTGCCTGTTTGAGTGTTTGTTTAATAGCCTACTGATTCCGTGAGCACCAAGCCTCACGCAACGACATGTCAAGTAAACAATTTCACAAATTCGGCTGCATTTAATCTTTGCTTTGCTGTAATAAAGGCTTTAAACTATTTTTTGATAGAACAGCCTCTCTGGTGTTAATTATGATGTATTTAGTGTTGTTTACACTGTTCCAAATTGTCCGAAAAAAAATAAAATAAATAATAAGTGATGTCATTATCATAAGTAGTCTTAGTATAGCAGCCTTGTATAACCACCATGGAGCTGTAGGCCTAAGAGCACATCCTGTTTAGTCTTAATACCGTAACTTACTTTGGCTTAAATTTCAATACTTCTATAGGCTACTGTATCAATCAATCAATCATTCGTTCATGTCATCACACAATATGAGTCATTCATGATTTGAAATGCAACCAAGTGTTTTAGTTTTTAAATAAAATAAAGTGAGCCTTGAATAATTAGCTTAAATAATAAAACCGTTCCATTTCAAAATTGCATTCACGAATGAATGAGACTTTTTAGTCTTGGCTGTAATAAAAGGCTTGCCAAAAAACATTACAGACTCTCTGGTACGCTTATAATTGATTTAGTGTTGTTCAGAGTTTGTTATAACCAATTTATTCATGTGATTATGATATGCTATGCTTTGCTACGCTATAGGCACAGCCTGCCCGCTCATTAGGCAGATTGACGAAGGCGGCATTTTCTAAGCTAAACTGACCAAGACGCACCTCCAACAACACATAAAACCTCCCATAATTCTGCCCAAAAACAATGACAATTTCTCTCAACCAGTGGCATATGGATGTTTTAGGTGAGCGCTGATGCACAAGGCTGGGATGGGCTACAGGACAATAGGCAAGCAGCTTGGTGAGAAGGCAACAACTGTTGGCGCAATTATTAGAAAAATGGAAGAAGTTCAAGATCACGGTCAATCACCCTCGGTCTGGGGCTCCATGCAAGATCTCACCTCGTGGGGCATCAATGATCATGAGGAAGGTGAGGGATCAGCCCAGAACTACACAGCAGGACCTGGTCAATGACCTGAAGAGAGCTGGGACCACAGTCTCAAAGAAAACCATTAGTAACACACTACGCCGTCATGGATTAAAATCCTGCAGCGCACGCAAGGTCCCCCTGCTCAAGTCAGCACATGTCCAGGCCCGTCTGACGTTTGCCAATGACCATCTGGATGATCCAGAGGAGGAATGGGAGAAGGTCATGTGGTCTGATGAGACAAAAATAGAGCTTTTTGGTCTAAACTCCACTCGCTGTGTTTGGAGGAAGAAGAAGGATGAGTACAACCCCAAGAACACCATCCCAACCGTGAAGCATGGAGGTGGAAACATCATTCTTTGGGGATGCTTTTCTGAAAAGGGGACAGGACGACTGCACCGTATTGAGGGGAGGATGGATGGGGCCAGAATAACCTAATGTCCTCTGATAATACTCATCCCATGCGAATCAACATCCCTGTGTTTTAAGGGAAATGTCTGCGTTTGACAGGTGTTGCTCGTAGTTTGCGCAAGAAAACAATAATGGATTCGATAAATTTAACTAAGTGATGCGCATAAGCTATATATGAATGGCCTAAACTATATATGAATGGCCTACATGTAGCCTATCAACTTTCACAGTGAATGCTTGTTTATATGTTTCGGGCGAATGAATTTAATATTACCAAATGCATCAGTAAAAAATAGAGCCTATTTAATGCAACCCTTGCTCTGAACAGTTGATGTTGAGTTGTGTCTGTTACTTGAACACATTTATTTCGGCTGAAATCTGAGGTGCAGTTAACTCTAATGAACTTATCCTCTGCAGCAGAGGTAACTCTGGGTCTTCCTTTCCTTTGGCGGTCCTCATGAGAGCCAGTTTCATCATAGCGCTTGATGGTTTTTGCGACTGCACTTGAAGAAACGTTCAAAGTTCTTGAAATGTTCTGGATTGACTGACCTTCATGTCTTAAAGTAATGATGGACTGTCGTTTCTCTTTGCTTATTTGAGCTGTTCTTGCCATAATATGGACTTGGTCTTTTACCAAATAGGGCTATCTTCTGTATACCACCTCTACCTTGTCACAACACAACGGATTGGCTCAAACGCATTAAGAAGGAAAGAAATTCCACAAATTAACTTTTTAAAAAGGCACACCTGTTAATTGAAATAAATTCCAGGTGACTACCTCATGAAGCTGGTTGAGAGAATGCCAAGAGTGTGCAAAGCTGTCATCAAGGCAAAGCGTGGCTACTTTAAAGAATCTAAAATATATTTTGATTAGTTTAACACTTTTTTGGTTACTACATGATTCCATATGTGTTATTTCATAGTTTTGATGTCTTCACTATTATTCTACAATGTAGAAAATAGTACAAATAAAGAAAAACCCTGGAATGAGTAGGTGTGTCCAAACTTTTGACTGGTACTGTATATCGTATTTAAAACATGTATTTCAACTCTCCGGATATCAAATTATTTGAATACTGCAATAATTTCAAATACCCATCCCTAACACACAAGCACACAGTAGCAACATTAGACGACTGACACATCAGCTCGACTCTTTCCAGAGAAAAAAAGATAACGGTAGCCTAAAAGAGCGGTAAAAGAAAAGGCTTCCTTTACCGTCCAGCAGCTCGTAGATCAGCACAAAGTTGTTCTTGATGTTCTCCTCGCTGATCTTGCCGAAGTAGGCCGTCATGACGTCGCACATCTTAAGATGAGATAAAATAAGATAGTTCTTTATTAATCCCGAAGGAAAAAACGTTGATTGTGCCAGCCAATACATACAACACCAATAAATATACCTTGTAGAGGAACTCGAACACCATGGCGGCGTTGACATTCTGCTTGGTGACCGCCGCCAGCCAGATGTTGGAGCGCTTGACGTGGAAGAAGCTGGTGCGGGCGATGTTGGTGACCGGCGAGCGTACCTGCTGCCGCGCATGGATCACGTTCACGCGGAACGCATCCACCGCATTGCGCCTGTATATACAAATACAGAAAAGGAGGGGGTCGTTAGAGACATTCAAAAAGGTAGACCTTGAGCAGCATGCACACACGGAAGAGGAACAGAGTGTGTTAGAGACATTTAACTGTATTAGGCAAGTAAAGATATGAGATGATTGAAAGTCAAAGAGGGGGAGAGTGAAAGAGCAGGAGAGTGAAAGAGGACCACGAGATGCACGGAAGAAAGGAAACGGTAAAGGGGCATGTAGCCTACATTTGGAGAAAAAGAAACCTGTCTTTTGTCACTGCAGCTGGCAAGACACTTGCAGTCAGGAGATGATCAGTTGCCAAGCAAGCACATCATCTTACCTATTCCTACAGTAGCCAAATGGACAAGATGATGGACATGGAGAGAAATGGTACCAGCAGAAAGGGTGGACAGAAACACAAAAGACAAGGAGGAAAAGAAGAGGGAAAGGAGAATGAAGATGGGAATCAGGGCAGAGGGTTAGAGAGAGATACGAAGGGCGGGCCCAAAAAATGAATATTAAATAAATTCAATTATAGCCGGCATCCCGATTTCATGCTTCAGCACCATTCTCTCACTCCTTGCGCACTGCCTTACGTGCATGCGCAGAGAGAGGGAGAGAGAGAGAGAAGCCTTGGCCTTTTTCAGAGGTAAAACGAAAGCTAGAGAGGGAAAAAAAGAGTATGCCCATAGCCTAAGGGTAATGTCCTCAGTGTGGACAAGCTTTAATATTGTAGTGGACAAAGATGAGACGAATGTTGGTGCGGCCAAATGCAGGTTACTGTGCAACTCACTATTCAGGTAGAATAACATTTTTACACTTTTATTTATTTTCATATTTAGTCATTTGTTTTATCATCATCATTAATATTATTATTATTATTGTAGGCCTATTTATTAATCTAAACCAGTTCTTTAAATATGTACGTGTTTTGTTTCATTCGGTTGAGACATTTTTGTTGGTTAGTTCGGTCTTTTTAATCATTTGCTCCTTATTTAGTTTAAGTTAGAAGTAAGCCTGTTGTAAAATAGATATCATTAGCCGATTGCTGTAATTTGTTGGGTACGGCAGGCACTAGCCTTTGTTGGTAATTGCTGCAATACACTGAGTGTACAAAACATTAGGAACACCTGCCCTTTCCTTGACAGACTGACAAGGTGAATCCAGGTGAAAGCTATGATCCCCTATTGATGTCACCTGTTAAATCCACTTCAAATCAGTGGTCACCGACCGGTCGATCTCCAAGGCATTCCTAGTCGATCGCCAAGCATTTCTGTAAAAAACCCAACGATAAACCTTGCGTTACTATTTTTTACATTCGTCTCATGCGGTTGGTGCACCTGATTCAGCTGTCCTGCGCGCCGGGTAGGCAACGTGTTCCCATTTTGAACCATTTCATATGTCTGAAGGTACAAACTCTGGCATTCCGGCGGGAGCAAATCAAGTGCTCTATAGACCTACCACTGGCCAATCGGATGGCTCAGATTACAGTGTCCGCAGTAACGTAGCAGGCGTAAAAGAAAGCTACAGCAAAGCCGATACTGAGATTTCTAAACTTTTAAAACCATGACTACAGAGAGACTGTCAACGAATACAGCAAAGAGCTGCTGTTTTTATGAGTGAGTTCATGTTTAAGTTCTTACTCAGCACTGTCATCACTTTCTATTCTACACTTTCACAAGCCATAAAATGCGCATTCTCCCTACTTCCACTCGCACTACAACCAGCACTGCAGCTGCAATGAATGAGTAGGGAAGTGTATCGATAGGCTTGCGTTATTAGCAGATTGTCAAAATTTCAATTTCTCTGGTCATAGCAGTAACAACATGAATTTGTGCATGAGGCAGAAATAATGTGTTGCGACTCGAGTTTCACCATCAGCTGGAAGACAGTGTCCCTTTTTGGTCAGTGTCAGCGGAGGAAAGGGAGAGCGGAGGGACGTTGAGAGGCGGACCCTCAGTCTGCTTCCCTCTCCCTCCACTGAGACTGACCATAATATGCAGGCTCCATCAGCCCAGTAAAATAAAAAAAGCTAATTATGCTCACTCAGCTGTGCCTAACAAGTAATACAACAACTGATCTATTACCAGTGTGATCATATAGCCTACCTCAAATGTTCAAATCTGAGAAGAACAATCCATTGGCAGGGCAATTCAAGCAAAGACAATATGCGGTGATCATGTTTTGGGCCTATAGCCTACTGCACACACCTCATTACTACAGTACTGTTTTTAAATAGGTTAATCTTGCATATACAGTGAGGGAAAAAAGTATTTGATCCCCTGCTGATTTTGTACGTTTGCCCACTGACAAAGACATGATCAGTCTATAATTTTAATGGTAGGTTTATTTGAACAGTGAGAAACAGAATAACAACAACAAAAATCCAGAAAAACGCATGTCAAAAATGTTATTAATTGATTTGCATTTTAATGAGGGAAATAAGTATTTGACCCCTCTGCAAAACATGACTTAGTACTTGGTGGCAAAACCCTTGTTGGCAATCACAGAGGTCAGACGTTTCTTGTAGTTGGCCACCAGGTTTGCACACATCTCAGGAGGGATTTTGTTCCACTCCTCTTTGCAGATCTTCTCCAAGCCATTAAGGTTTCGGGGCTGACGTTTGGCAACTCGAACCTTCAGCTCCCTCCACAGATTTTCTATGGGATTAAGGTCTGGAGACTGGCTAGGCCACTCCAGGACCTTAATGTGCTTATTTTTGAGCCACTCCTTTGTTGCCTTGGCCGTGTGTTTTGGGTCATTGTCATGCTGGAATACCCATCCACGACCCATTTTCAATACCCTGGCTGAGGGAAGGAGGTTCTCACCCAAGATTTGACGGTACATGGCCCTGTCCATCGTCCCTTTGATGCGGTGAAGTTGTATTGTCCCCTTAGCAGAAAAACACCCCCAAAGCATAATGTTTCCATCTTCATGTTTGACGGTGGGGATGGTGTTCTTGGGGTCATAGGCAGCATTCCACCTCCTCCAAACACGGCGAGTTGAGTTGATGCCAAAGAGCTCCAATTTGGTCTCATCTGACCACAACACTTTCACCCAGTTCTCCTCTGAATCATTCATATGTTCATTGGCAAACTTCAGACGGCCCTGTATATGTGCTTTCTTGAGCAGGGGGACCTTGCGGGCACTGCAGGATTTCAGTCCTTCACGGTGTAGTGTGTTACCAATTGTTTTCTTGGTGACTATGGTCCCAGCTGCCTTGAGATCATTGACAAGATCCTCCCGTGTAGTTCTGGGCTGATTCCTCACCGTTATCATGATCATTGCAACTCCACGAGGTGAGATCTTGCATGGAGCCCCAGGCCGAGGGAGATTGACAGTTATTTTGTGTTTCTTCCATTTGCGAATAATCGCACCAACTGTTGTCACCTTCTCACCAAGCTGCTTGGCGATGGTCTTGTAGCCCATTCCAGCCTTGTGTAGGTCTACAATCTTGTCCCTGACATCCTTGGAGAGCTCTTTGGTCTCGGCCATGGTGGAGAGTTTGGAATCTGATTGATTGATTGCTTCTGTGGACAGGTGTCTTTTATACAGGTAACAAGCTGAGATTAGGAGCATTCCCTTTAAAGTGCGCTCCTAATCTCAGCTCGTTACCTGTATAAAAGACACCTGGGAGCCAGAAATCTTTGACTGAGAGGGGGTCAAATACTTATTTCCCTCATTAAAATGCAAACAAATCTATAACATTTTTGACATGGGCTTTTCTGGATTTTTTTGTTGTTATTCTGTCTCTCACTGTTCAAATAAACCTACCATTAAAATTGTAGACTGATCATTTCTTTGTCAGTGGGCAAACGTACAAAATCAGCAGGCGATCAAATACTTTTTTCCCCCTCACTGGACTTACGTTTTTAAGTCATGTAAAAAATATGTCTACAGTACCAGTAAAAAGTTTGGACATACCTACTCATTCAAGGGTCTTTATTTTTACTATTTTCTACATTGTAGAATAGTAGTGAAGACATCAAAACTATGAAATAACACATATGAAATCATGTAGTAACCAAAAAAAAGTGTTAAATCAAAATATATTTTATATTTGAGATTCTTCAAAGTAGCCACCCTTTGCCTTGATGACAGCTTTGCACACTCTTGGCATTCTCTCAACCAGCTTCATGAGATAGTCACCTGGAATGCATTTAAATTAACAGGTGTGCCTTCTTAAAAGTGAATTTGTGGAATTTCTTTCCTTCTTAATGCGTTTGTGCCAATCAGTTGTGTTGTGACAAGGTAGGGGGGTATACAGAAGATTGTCTTTTACCAAATAGAGCTAGTCCATATTATGGCAAGAACAGCTCAAATAAGCAAAGAGAAACGACAGTCCATCATTACTTTAAGACATGAAAGTCAGTCAATCTGGAAAATTTCAAGAACTTTCTTCAAGTGCAGTCGCAAAAACCATCAAGCGCTATGATGAAACTGGCTCTCATGAGGACCGCCACAGGAAAGGAAGACCCAGAGTTACCTCTGCTGCAGAGGATAAGTTTATTAGTTACCAGCCTCAGAAATTGCAGTCCAAATAAATGCTTCACAGAGTTCAATTAACAGACACATCGCAACATCAACTGTTCAGAGGAGACTGAGTAAATCAAAGGACACCAATAAGAAGAAGAAACTTGCTTGGGCCAAGAAACACGAGCAATGGACATTAGACCGGTGGAAATCTGTCCTTTGGTCTGATGAGTCCAAATGTGAGATTTTTGGTTCCAACCGCCGTGTCTTTGTGAGACGCTGAGTAGGTGAACTGATGATCTCCGCATGTGTGGTTCCCACCGTGAAGCATGGAGAAGGAGGTGTGATGGTGTGGGGGTGCTTTGCTGGTGCCACGGTCTGTGATTTATTTAGAATTCAAGGCACACTTAACCAGCATGGCTACCACAGCATTCTGCGGCGATACGCCATCCCATCTGGTTTGCGCTTAGTGGGACTATCATTTGTTTTTCAACAGGACAATGTCCCAAAACACACCTCAAGGCTGTGTAAGGGCTATTTGACCAAGAAGGAGTGATGGAGTGCTGCATCAGATGACCTGGCCTCCACAATCACCCGACCTCAACCCAATTGAGATGGTTTGGGATGAGTTGGACCGCAGAGTGAAGGAAAAGCAGCCAACAAGTGCTCAGCATATGTGGGAACTCCTTCAAGACTGTTGGAAAAGCATTCTAGGTGAAGCTGGTTGAGAGAATGCCAAGAGTGTGCAAAGCTGTCATCAAGGCAAAGGGTGGCTACTTTGAAGAATCTCAAACCCTTGAATGAGTAGGTGTGTCCAAACTTTTGACTGGGACTGACAGACTGACTGACTGACTGTCTGTATATATAAATAAAACAGTATCTCGGCTTACCTTTTGACTCAAAAAGTGATACACTCAAAAAAGGTTGGTGACCACTGGTGTAGATGAAGGGGAGGAGACATGCTAAAGGCTTTTTAAGCCTTGAGACAATGATAGTGTGTGCGCAATTCAGAGGGTGAATGGGAATGAAAAGATTTAAGTGCCTTTGAACGGGGTATGGTAGTAGGTGCCAAGTGTGTCAAAAACTGCAACGCTGCTGGGTTTTTCCACGCTCAACAGTTTCCCGTGTGTATCAAAAATGGTCCACCACCCAAAGGACATCCAGCCAACTTGACACAACTGTGGGAAGCATTGGAGTCCTGTGGAAGGCTTTCAACACCTTGTAGGGTCCATGCCCCATCGAATTGAAGCTGTTCTGAGGGCAAAAGTGGGTGGAACTCAATATTAGGAAGGTGTTCCTAGAGTTTTGTACTACTTTTGTGAAGGTTTAAACCATTCTGTTGAGCCATTTTCTTTGGCCAAATTAAGTGTTTACTGCAATATACTAGCCTGCTTGTATGACTGTAAGTCGCTTTGGATAAAAGCGTCTGCTAAATGGTATATTATTATTATTGTCCCTATAAACAATGGACTATACCTACTTTTGATATTACCCTAATAAAGTTTGAAACTTGTGTGAAGGTTTGGTGTGGTGTGCATATTTACATTTTAGGCATTTAGCAGACGCTCTTATCCAGCATACATTTTTTTTTTTTTTTTTTTTTCTCCATACTGGCCCCCCGTGGGAAACGAACCCACAACCCTGCCGTTGCAAGCGCCATGCTCTACCAACTGAGCTACACGGGACCTGTATTATTAAGCTTTAGCTACTGCAGGCCTATGATATGAAGGCAGTGCGCACCAGAGCTCCAACTGACTCAGGTCGGAGGTTTTTCTCTCTTTACTCTCGGATCCGATCAGGCACGGGTCTGTTTGGGTCTGTTTTTCCACAGGTCAATTTTTGGACCCGAAGACCTCTAGGATGCCCGGCTATTAAAAGGGACAGGGGGCTATTTGAGACTCAGTGTTTAACCTCTTAAGGATCAGACCCTTCTTTTCAATTTCCACCTAAAATGACACCCAAATCTAACTGCCTGTAGCTCAGGACCTGAAGCAAGGATATGCATATTCTTGGTACTATTTGAAAGGAAACACTGCAGAAGTTTGTGGAAATGTGAAATTCATGTAGTAGAACATAGATCTGGTAAAAGATCAAACAAACAAAAAAACATGTTTTCTATTTTGACATGAAAAAGAAAAGCTATACATTCAGAGGTAATTTAGATGTTGTCTACAAGAGGGCAAGTGTATGTGCAAAGTTTCAGACTGATACCTTCAAGAATGAGGGAGCTACATAACATTTAGTATGAAGTCACCCAGGTGTCCCTCACGAGTTTGCCCAAATGTACCCAAGTAGCCTCCAAATGGCCGAATTGGTAAATTGATACCGTTTCAAGTACATAACTATAGAGAACATACAAAAATGCTATGTTAATAAGAAATACAAGATTACACACTCCCAGGAATGTCATACATGATGGATCATTAGCTTCCCTACATAACAGGTACTAACAGGAGACGCGACGAGAATGCTGAAAGAAAAAGTCATATCTCAAACTAGCCAATAAAAAGAAAAGATTAAGACGGGAAAAAGAACACTGACACTGGACTTTTTCTTTGCAACTCTGCCTAGAAGGTCAGCATCCCGGAGTCGCCTCTTCACTGTTGACGTTGAGACTGGTGTTTTGCGGGTACTATTTAATGAAGCTGCAAGTTGAGGACCTGTGAGGTGTCTGTTTCTCAAACTAGACACTAATGGATTTGTCCTCTTGCTCAGTTGTGCACCGGGGCCCAATTTGCGCTGTTCTGTGAAGGGAGTAGTACACAGCGTTGTACGAGATCTTCAGTTTCTTGGCAATTTCTCAGAACAAGAATAGACTGACGAGTTTCAGAAGAAAGTTATTTGTTTCTGGCCATTTTGAGCCTGTAATCAAACCCACAATTGCTGATGCTCCAGATACTCAACTAGTCTCAAGAAGGACAGTTTTATTGCTTCTTTAAATCAGCACAACAGTTTTCAGCTGTGCTAATATAATTGCAAAAGGGTTTTCTATTATCCATATTGAGCAACAACTGTCCCGATTTCGGGACACCCATCCAGTAGAGGCGAATGTACGTTTACGGTACCATAATCTAAATGTGATTTCTGTCATTCTGAGCACCGTGGGTGGACACCTCAATAGGTTACGCATCCAATGCATATGGATGTCCAGTAAATTAAAATCTTACAGGTCAGGTTGTCCAGCGCCAACACTGACACACACCCCTCCTTAATTAACAACGGGGAGATGGGGAAGTTATGCAAGGTTTTCCGGGTCAACCAGGAGCCATGAGCTAACTGGACTGCATGGTACAATTAAGATGATCTGAAGTCCCTAGAGCAGTGGTCACCAACCTTTTCTGAGTCTAGATCACTTTGAGTCAAAATGCAAGTCGAGATCTACTGCTCAGATTTTTATTTATTTTTTTACATTACTTAAACGTAAGCCTATGCAACACTAACTAATTAAAAACAGTTCTGTAGCAATGAGATTTGTGCAGTAGGCTATAGGCCCAATACATTATCACTGCATATTAAAAATGTATGTATATGATCACACTGGTAATAAATAATTTGTTGTATTACTTGTGAGGCACAGCTAAGTGAGCATAATCATTTCCATATTTTAACTGATGGCCTGCATCTGATGGTCAGTCTGAGGGGAGGGAGGGAGCAGCGGTGAGGCTGCCTCTCACCCGACTCACCGTCCCTCCGCTGAGAAAAGGGACAGTCTTCCAGCTGATGGCGAAACTCAAGTCACACTGCATTATTTCTGCCTCATGCGCCAATTCATGTTGTTACTCCAAGGCCAGAGAAAGTTAAATATTCCTCGATATAAAATTGTTTTAAAGACAAGCCGCTAATAATAACAACGCAAGCTTATCGGAAACAAAGTGTTGACAGTGCTGAATAACAACTTAAACATGAACAGCAGATCTTTGCTGTGTTCATTGAGTCTCTAGTCATGGTTTAAAAAAAAAAAAGAAATCTCACAGTATCAACTTTGCTGTGCGTTCGAGGCTTCTTTTTTTACAGGTTTAAGGCTCGAGGAAACTGTGCAGACACGGTAATCAAGAGTTGTGTTTGCACAGCGATAGGCCTATAGGTGCACTTGATTTGCTCACTGGGCCTGCCAGGTAAGCGGAGTTCTACCTTCAGACACATTAAATGGTTAAAAATGGGAATACTTTGCCTTCCTGGCGCTAAGGCTGCTGAATCAAGTGCACCTACCGCCAACAAATAAAAAATAATGCAAGGCTTTATAGTCCGAGTCATTGGGTTTTTTACAGAAGTGTTTGGTGATCAACAAGGTTGCACTAAGTTCACTAACGTCTCCAGATAAATTACAGGGACACTCAGCTACAATAAACAGACCATGAGCCACGAGCTGTGCTGCGGTTGTATCCTAGCAACTGACTGCAAAAAAAGACAACCCGGAACGCCACCTGTGTTAGATCGCATTTCTGCCTGAGGCTTCTGCTCCCGAGTGGCGCAGTGGTCTAAGGCACTGCATCGCAGTGTTAACTGTGCCACCAGAGATCCTGGTTCGAATCCAGGCTCTGTCGCAGCCGGCCGCGACCGGGAGACCCATGGGGCGGCGCACAATTGGCCCAGCGTCGTCCAGGGTAGGGGAGGGAATGGCCGGCAGGGATGTAGCTCAGTTGATAGAGCATGGCGTTTGCAACGCCAGGGTTGTGGGTTTGATTCCCACGGGGGGCCAGTATAAAAAATAAAAAAAAAATAAAAAAAGATCTATTCACTAACTGTAAGTCGCTCTGGATAAGAGCGTCTGCTAAATGACTAAAATGTAAAATGTAATGTAAATGCTTCTTGTTCAACTTCTCAGAAGGAGAACCAAATATCAGATGTGGGCAATCTTCCACGGCTTTAGAGGTCTACTGTGGATGCAGTCAGACTTTCACTAAAGACGGATTACAGTGCGTTGTTCCAAATAGCTGACTACTATCCTAACTCATGTGGCCGACTACAAGGGGGGTTTGGCATGCCCCTGCACCCCCATAGCTGGCTTTACACTGGCTACTTGAAAGCCTTTCACCCATACCAGCCATTTGTGAATCACTTTTGGCAGCGATTACAGCTGTGTCTTTCTGGGTAAGTCTAATTGCACAACATTTGCACATTATAATTTGTTTTATTCTGCAAGCTCTGTGAAGTTGGTTGTTGATCATTGCTAGACAGCCATTTCCAAGTCTTACCATAGATTCAAGCCGATTTAAGTCAACTGTAACTACGCCACTCAGGAACATGTCGTCTTGGTAAGCAACTCCAGTGTATATTTGGCCTTGTGTTTTAGGTTATTGTCCTGCTGAAAGGGGAATGTGTCTACCAGTGTCTGTTGGAAAGCAGACTGAACCAGGTTCTCTAGAATTTTGCCTGTGCTTAGCTCTATTCTGTTTATTTTTATCCTAAATAACTCCCTAGTCCTTGCCGATGACAAGCATACCCATAACATGATGCAGCCACCACCATGCTTGAAAATATGAAGAGTGGTACTCAGTGATGTGCTGTGTTGGATTTGCCCCAAACATAAAACTTTGTATTTAGGACAAAGTTAATTTCTTTGCAACATTTTTTTGGCAAATTTACTTCAGTGCCTTGTTGCAAACATGATGCATGTTTTGGAATATTTTTATTCTGTATAGGCTTCCTTCTTTTCACTCTGTAGTTACTCCATAATACTAACCTAAATGACAATGTTGTTGATCCATCCTCAGTTTTCTCCTATCACAGCCATTAAACTCTGTAACAGTTTTAAAGTCACCATTGGCCTCGGTGAAATCCCAGAGCGGTTTCCTTCCTCTCCAGCAACTGAGTTATGAAGGACGCCTGTATCTTTGTAGTGACTGAGTGTATTGATACACCATCCAAAATGTAATTAATAACTTCACCATGCTCAAAAGGGATATCAATGTTATTTTTACCCATCTACCAATAGGTGCCCTTCTTTGCGAGGCATTGGAAAACCTCGACTGAGGGATCTTACACATAATTGTATGTGTGGGATACAGAGATGAGGTAGTCATTCAAAACACTATTATTGCACAGAGTGAGTCCATGCAACTTATTATGTGACTTGTTAAGCACATTTTTACTCCAGAACTTATTTAGGCTTGGCATAACAAAGGAGTTGAATACTTATTGACAAGACATTTCAGCTTTACATTTTTTATTACATAAAGTAAAAATGTCTTAAAACATAATTCCACTTTGATATTATGGGATATTGTGTGTGACCCAAAATCTCAATTGAATCAATAAAAAATTCAGGCTGTAAGAGTTGTATTTATTTTTAAGTCAAGGGGTGTGAATACTGTCTGTAGTCACTGTATGCATTAATGAATCAATTATACAATCAATTTGATTTTGTTTTTACCAATCTAACTACAAAATAACAATGGTCATTTATTTGAATGATGAATCTATTGATAAACTGGGTAAATCAAGATGTTGCCTAGGTCTATTCACAATACAGGTAAATGCATATTATTTCAATAGGAGTGTGTGCATGCATTGAGTTGAGCTTGTTTGAGCCGATTTCATGGGGATACAGATAAACAATCCCTTCCATTTAGGACTTATTTTATTGGCAACTGCTAGGAGAACATACATGTATTGTACTGATCAACATTTGCATAGAAGAAGCAAGCTCTTCATTTATAAAAGTGTGCGCCTTCTCTAAGTAATGACGTTATTCGCGAGGCAGAATGTGGCTATGGAATTTAGTGGAAACCAGACGGGAGGTGAAGGAGACAAAGAAGTGAATGTTTTTGGTGGCGAGAGAGACAAAGTTAATTAATTAACGTTTTTGGTGACAATTAGCTATGAAATTAGTATATTTTGCGTTATCACAAACAAAGTACTAGGTTAGTGAATTCAGCTGTAAGCTAGCAAGGAAAGTAAGCCTACAATTAAAGCAGGAAGCTACCGGTATAGTCTTGCATTGTAAAAGTGTTCTAGCCAGTATGGACATTGTTTTGCGAACAGTAATGAACCGTTTCAACGTCTTTCATTATTCAAGTGTTTGTGCAGCATGAGTGGGGAGCTAACAATGCAGCCCACATAGCCTAGCAATGAATGACTAAGTGGAGCAGGCACTTTGCTCCTCAACCTATAAAAGGGGACACGCTGATACTTGATTCTCTCAATCACGTAAGACACATTTGACAGACATACCGAACGTAACAAAAATGCTAGTACTGGGATACCATGCTACACTACTCTGTGGACTTACCCTATGTCATCGCGGTAGACGCGGGAGATCAGCACCTCCCCCTTGTGGTTGTAGATGAACAATCCTCCAATCATGATGGCAGCCTCTCAGTCATAACAGGCCATGAGGAGTGACTGCATGGGGGAGAGAAAGAGTAGGGAAGTGATCAGCAAAACAATTCAAAGGCTTCTTGAAGAAACGTCTTCTTGGGTCAGTAGAAATTCAGAAAGAAATCACATATCTGCCTAAAGATGCACAGAGATTGAGACTACTACATTCATCTAGATTCTACTAGGCTGGAAAGGCGGAATAGTGCATGATCCACAACAAGAAAAGCCCTGGATGAACTAATCCTCTTCCTTCCCACTCCCCAGGAAGACCAATAAAATAGGCCTAGACCAGATTACTGCTCCTGGAAAGACATGACTGTAGCTAACACACAGAAAATAAGGAGGGGAATGAGGGTGGTGTTCATTAGGCCCCAGAATGAAGAAAGCAGACAAACAGCGGGGGTCCTAAACATCCAATAATTAATAGGTTTTTGGTGCAAATAGTTTAACGTTTTCCATTACACGCCCTAATGAATACGACTTAGAGGAGCGATGTCACGTAGGCTAATTTGTTAATGAATTAAAAACGTCTGCCCTGTCATTTGACCTTCAGGTGCCATAGGAAGCACATTTCCAATTCATGTCATGATTGAGCTGAACTCTGCTCAGATTGAAGGACCCCACCCCCCTTCGCCTCTCTAGCCCTCAGTCTTTTCAGAAGGACACATCCAAAAGCTTGCAAGAGCTGGCTAAAGGCCTTTGCAGACTGTATGATTTTAGCCGTCTAAAGCCACGATTTTGCCGTCCTAGACTATTTCCCCGTCTTAGGCAAATCCTTAGGTCGTAAACGATTGTCGGATGTCTTGGCTCGTTCAGTGTGACCGGGTCTAGGTCTGCCGATGAAGTACCTGTTACGTGCGGTTGTAGGCTATGACAAAGTTTTAGCAGTGTCAGATTTTTATGGCCTTTGTGTTAAGCCGATCCCGGTGAATGGCAAATAGGAACTTGGCCGGCACAGAGTATGCACACAATAATACATTATTGTGAATAGTCTGATTAACATAATAGTTTGGTTTAAATGCTTAGCCTACATGCTGTGCAAGAACGATTTCCCAATTAAATCTTGTTTACATGACACATCTGAAATTTGGCTACCTGATGGGATTTTTATCAATCTAAATAAAACGTTCTATCACGTTATTTTGGGGAAGCCTATTTGCTTCGTAGTTCAGCCAAAGTTTCTATGTAAAAACTATTTCTAAAGATGCATACTTGGTAACAATCGCACAGTATGACGTGATAATCATAAAAGACTGAATCGTATGTACAGACCTAAAGATAACAGCCAGGGTCATCAAGTCTCTGCTCCCTATAGAAGGGCAACAACAATAGTGAAACGGTTAACATGTGGCCAGCCAGACAAGCAGAGTCAAACATATAAGCTTGCGTAAAGAGCTGGTACATACAGTGGCTTGCGAAAGTATTCACCCCCCTTGACATTTTTCCTATTTTGTTGCCTTATAATTCCAGGTTGTATTTTTTTTATTGCAAAACAAACAAGAAATAAGACAAAAAACCAGAAAACTTGAGCGTGCATAACTATTCACCCCCCCAAAGTCAATACTTTGTAGAGCCACCTTTTGCAGCAATTACAGCTGCAAGTCTCTTGGGATATGTCTCTATAAGCTTGGCACATCTAGCCACTGGAATTTTTGCCCATTCTTCAAGACAAAACTGCTACAGCTCCTTCAAGTTGGATGGGTTCTGCTGGTGTACAGCAATCTTTAAGTCATACCACAGATTCTCAATTGGATTGAGGTCTGGGCTTTGACTAGGCCATTTCTAGACATTTAAATGTTTCCCCTTACACCGCTCGAGTGTTGCTTTAGCAGTATGCTTAGGGTCATTGTCTTGCTGGAAGGTGAACCTCCGTCCCAGTCTCAAATCTCTGGAAGACTGAAACAGGTTTCTCAAGACTTTCCCTGTATTTAGCGCCATCCATCATTCATTCAATTCTGACCAGTTTTCGAGTCCCTGCCGATGAAGAACATCCCCACAGCATGATGCTGCCACCACCATGCTTCACTGTGGGGATGGTGTTCTCGGGGTGATGAGAGGTGTTGGGTTTGCACCAGACATAGCGTTTTCCTTGATGGCCAAAAAGGTCAATTTTAGTCTCATCTGATCAGAGTACCTTCTTCCATATGTTTGGGGAGTCTCCAACATGCCTTTTGGCAAACACCAAATGTGTTTGCTTATTTTTTTCTTGAAGCAATGGCTTTTTTATGGCTACTCTTCCGTAAAGCCCAGCTCTGTGGAGTGTACGGCTTAAAGTGGTCCTATGGACAGATACTCCAATCTCCGCTGTGGAGCTTTGCAGCTCCTTCAGGGTTATCTTTGGTCTCTTTGTTGCCTCTCTGATTAATGCCCTCCTTGCCTGGTCTGTGAGTTTTGGTGGGCGGCCCTCTCTTGGCAGGTTTGTTGGGGTGCCATATTCTTTCCTTGGTCTTCATGGTGCCGCTTGTTTGGTGGTGCCCCTTGCTTAGTGGTGTTGCAGACTCTTGGGCCTCTTGGGCGTATATATTCTGAGATCATGTGACACTTAAATAAAGTCCACCTGTGTGCAATCTAACTAATTATGTGACTTCTGAAGGTAATTGGTTGCACCAGACCTTATTTAGGCGCTTCAAAGCAAAGGGGGTGAATACATATGCACGCACCACTTTTCCGTTATTTATTTTTTAGAATTTCTTGAAGCAAGTCATTTTTTTCATTTTTCACTTCACCAATTTGGACTATTTTGTGTATGTCCATTGCATGAAATCCAAATAAAAATCCATTTAAAATTACAGGTTGTAATGCAAATAAAATAGGAAAAAACGCCAAGGGGGATGAATACTTTTGCAAGGCACTGTATGTATGTGTGACTGGTATGACATCATGTAAATGAGAGTACAGCTTCCGCTCGAGTCGGCTCATACAGAGGCTCGAACCCAGGACCTCTGCCTCGAAAACACACGACTGCCCTCCTGAAGTGTCTAACCCAGTCGCGCCACCGAAAAGCTAGCTATTCTTCAGGGCAAGTGGGGACACTTTAGGCTGAGTTGTAAAGTTGTAAATAAGGAAACACCAACAACAGTTTTCAATGTAGCAGATTTGATTTGTTGACACTAGTGTAATGAGTAGGGCTAACCTTGCGTTTAGACCTGAAGAATGGCGTTAACTCCCAGGGCTAATGCCCAGGCTTTAGCTCAGTGGGATATTTACTAACCTTCAAGATTCACTTCAATTTTAACACTTTCCACCCCCCATAATTTACAAGGGATTAAAGGAATAATCCGGCCTCCCAAGTGGCGCAGCGGTCTAAGGCACTGCATCACAGTGCTAGAGGCGTCACTAGATACCCGGGTCCGATCCCGGGCTGCGTCGCAACCGGCCGCTACCTGGAGACCCATGAGGCGGCACACAATTGGCCGAGCGTCGTCCGGGTTAGGCCGGCCGGGATGTCCTTGTCCCATCGCGCTCTAGCGACTCCTGTGGCGGGCCGGACGCATGCACGCTGACTTCGGTCGCCAGTTGTACGGCGTTTCCTCCAACGCATTGGTGCGGCTGGCTTCCGGGTTAAGCTAGCAGTGTGTCAAGAAGCAGTGCGGCTTGACAGGGTCGTGCTTTGGAGGACGCATGGCTCTCGACCTTAGCCTCTCCCGAGTCCGTACAGGAGTTGCAGCGATGGGACAAAACACCATACACGCTGTCTGCCATCTGCCCAGTACAGTTGAAACTGGGATTCATCCACGAATCCATCCAGCATGCCAGTGGCCATCGAAGGTGAATGTTTGTCCACTGAAGTCGGTTACGACAATGAACTGCAGTCAGGTCAAGACCCTGGTGAGGACGACGAGCACGCAGATATACTTCCCCAAGACGGTTTCTGTTTGTGCAGAAATGTGTTGGTTGTGCAAACCGATTTTCATCAGCTGTCCGGGTGGCTGGTCTCAGACAATCCCGCAGGTGAAGAAGCCGGATGTGGAGGTCCTGGGCTGGCGTGGTTAAACGTGGTCTGCGGTTGTGAGGCCGGTTGGACGTACTGCCAAATTATTTCAAACTATGTTGGAGGCGGCTTATGGTAGAGAAATGGACATTCAATTCTCTGGCAACAGCTCTGGTGGACATGTCTGCAGTCACCATGCCAATTGCATGCTCTCTCAAAACTTGAAACATATGTGGCATTGTGTTGTGTGACAAAACTGCACATTATAGAGTAGCGTTTTTATTGTCCACAGCACTTGTGTAATGATCATGCTGTTCCATTTACATTTTAGTCAATTAGCAGACGCTCTTATCCAGAGCGACTTACAGTTAGTGAGTGCATACATTTTCATACTGGCCCCCCGTGGGAAACGAACCCACAACCCTGGCGTTACAAGCGCCATGCTCTAACAACTGAGCTAATCAGCTTCTTGAAATGCCACACCTGTCAGGTGGATGGCAATGGAGAAATGCTTGCTAAAAGGGATGTAAACAACATTTGAGAGAAATAAGCTTTTTGTGGGTATGAAACATTTCTGGGATCTTTTATTTCAGCTGATGAAACACAGGACCAACACTTTATATGTTGTGTTTATATTTTTGGTTCTGTGTATATAAAAGATAGCTGTATTCCATTACTCAACTGAAAGCAGATCTCATTAAAAGGAACAATCTTCCCATAAATATTACAGGTAGACTAAACCTCTTCAGACTAAACCTCTTCAGAATGGCATGGCAGTGTTTGTATTTATTTTTGGTATTATCAATTACCCCACCGAAGACATTCTATAAAAATGTATACTTGGTCATAACTGACTTTACATGGGCAAATAAAATTCATAGAATAAAAAGGAACATTTTACATCAGTCTAAGGGAATTGTATCAACTCGCTACCCAAGGCTTTTACTTGCGACATAGAGTTACATGCACTAAAGAGGAACAATGGGTCCATACTGAAGATGCTCATCCCCAGACAAGTCTATTTTTAAAGGCTAAAGCTAAGAACATTAATAACGTCACAGTTAAGAACACAATAATATGGAAGAAATTGTATGATGTTGTCGTTTGTGTGTGCATGTTCTGTATTGTTTATACAAGATAAAATACAAATCTTACAAAAAAAAATAATTATAGTTGATTGTTGCAGTTGTATCATGCTTTTCTAACTGCATTTTCTACTGTTAAAACTGATTTCATGAGAATCACCCGTGTATCCTGATTGCCTAGTCAAATTTGACCCCTACTTACATGTACATATTATCTCAACTACCTCGTACCCCTGCACATTGTACCGGTACTCCTTGTATATAGCCTCGTTATTGTAATTTATTATGTTACTATTTTACACTGAACAAAAATATAAACACAACATGTAAAGTGTTGGTCCCATGTTTCATCAGCTGAAATAGAAGATTTCAGAAATTTCTCATACGCACACAAAGCTTATTTCTCTCAAATTTTGTACACACATTTGTTTACATCCCTGTTAGTGAGCATTTTTCCTTTGCCAAGATAATCCATCCACCTGACAGGTGTGGCATATCATGAAGCTGATTAAACAGCTTGATCATTACACAGGTTCACCTTGTGCTGGGGTCAAAAGGCCACTCTAAAATGTCTAGGAATGTCCACAAGAGCAGTTGCAAGATAATCTAATGTTAATTTATCCACCATAAGCCACCTCCAACGTCGTTTTAGAGAATTTGGCAGTACGTCCAACCAGCCTCACAACCGCAGCCACGTGTATGGCGTCGTGTGGGCGAGCAGTTTGCTGATGTCAACGTTGTGAACAGAATGTCCCATTGGTGGCGGTGGGGTTATGGTACGGGCAGCCATAAGCTACAGACAACGAACACAATTGCATTTTATCGATGGCAATTTTAATCCACAGAGATACCGTGACGAGATCCTGAGGCCCATTGTCGTGCCATTCATCCGCTGCCATCACCTCATGTATCAGCATGATAATGCACAGCCCCATGTCGCAAGGATCTGTACACAGTTCCTGGAAGCTGAAAATGTCCAATTTCTTCCATGGCCTGCATATTCAGACGTCACCCATTGAGCATGTTTGGGATGCTCTGGATCGATGTGTATGACAGCGTGTTCCAGTTCCCGCCAAAATCCAGCAACTTCGCACAGCGATTGAAGAGGAGCGGGACAACATTCCACAGCCTGATCAACTTTATGCGAAGGAGATGTGTCCTGCTGCATGAGGTAAATGGTGGTCACACCAGATACTGACTGGTTTTCTGATCCACACCCTTGCCTTTTTTTAAGGTATCTGTGACCAACAGATGCATTTCTGTATTCCCAGTCATGTGAAATCCATTGATTAG